CGCAGTGCTTGCAATCTTTAAGCCTTTAAGCACTTTCAGACGGAATCCTCTCCTGGCAGGGGCTGCCGGGCTCTGGTTCCTGTTTCCTGGGCCCTGTACAGAGCCAGGCAGCTGCTCGCCTGCCCGGCTGCCGTGGGCTGAGGCTCCTTCCCCAGTTCAGGACTGAAGCGAGAGCTTTTTGGGGCTGGGACGGGTATCGTCCAATTCAACTCTCACTTTGCAAATGAGGAAGCCAGGGCCTGGGGCAGGCAAAGGCATTTCTGATAGAGCAACTTTGACAGCAGACAAACAAACATAAAGCCCCGGCCTGGAGCCCGTGCCCTTCACAGCAGCTCGGGGCTCTGTGGCCAGAGGTGTCCTCATATTTATCAAGTATCTGCGATGTGCAAGGCACTGCTTCCGTCCGAGTGAGGGTACAGAGGTGTCTCTGCACAAGCCTTTGGTCTCCTGGCCCAGAGAGCTTAGAAGAAAGGCATTCATTCTAGCACGTAGCTCTGACTCAGCCAGCAGGGCAGTTCTCGTAGCTTTAAAATACAGCAGGGGTTTTGCACCAAGAATCACATTATGGTCTTGAGTGTTATCAAGCTGCAGGAATCTGTGGCTGCCTTGACAAATGGCCAATGACCTAAGTCTCACATCGTCCTCTTCACACGTGCAGCGGGTCTTCATGGCCTCATTGGGTTTCCTGTTTTCCAAGAACACTCCCCTCCTCGCCTAGTCCGGGTGAACCTTGCTGGTCAGAGAGGACACCTCTGAGAGTGCCGTGAGCTGGACCTCATGTCCCTGTGGCCTGGGCGTGCAGCTCACGGTGCCCTACCTTGCTGGCAAACACGAGAGGTCATGCTAAGCCCCGTGCACATACGATATCTGCAGGGTACGTGGCTAAGACCTGTTGCCAGGTTTCCTAGGATGTGTTTTGATTAACAAAATATGGAAAAACTTTGGGCTCTATTACAGAGACATTGAGTAATGCCTGAACACCCAGCAGTCTATTCGCCTTGATGTTTGGGACGAATATTGACTTCATCACCGTTGCATTTCTTGCTGCTATTAAAGGAGACACATGAGCCAATTTATTTGGCTTATTCTTTTCGTAAGTGAGTGTCAGTTGAGTGTATTTTGTGTGCTGGGTTTTGAGGGAGGTCCTGGGACTTCCCTGCTCAGCAAACTCCCTGTGTTCACAGCGCAGGGGCTGATCCTGGCCTGCGGGACCCTCACAGTCACTGGTCATGCATGCAAACAGACAGGAGGGCTCTGTGGGGAAGAAACACACACAGCAAAGAAACCAAACCTAGAGTGGGGCCGGAAAAGGCATCTGAAATCCTGGTGCTTCTGCCAAAGTTGAATGCAGGGTGGGAGAGCAGGGATCCTGGCAGGTGTGGGAGAGCAGGTGTCCCAGTACTCTAGGTGAGACCTGGCAGGTGTGGGAGAGCAAGGGTCCCAGTACTCTAGGTGAGACCTGGCAGGTGTGGGAGAGCAGGGGTCCCAGTACTCCAGGTGAGACATAATCAACCTTGGACTAGTTGGGTGAAATGGAGCTGGGGAGAAGTGAGTAGATTTGAGGGATATTTAGGAGGAAAACTCTTCAGGGCTGGGTGGGGCCTGGGGGAGGTGTCATTGGTTTGTGGCTTGTGCCATTCATGGGGTAGAAATCCTGGACAAAGAGACTAGCTGGGGAAGAGCAGGAATCCCCAGTTTAGTCTCTGACTTACTGAGATTAAAGTTTCATCTCACCGTTCAAAGAGGTGTGTGGGGCAGCTCCACGAGTGAGCCTAGGAGCTGGCTGGGTAGTGATGGTGATTACAGCCACCTCCGCACAGGGCACATCTATGGTGGCCCAGGGGTGGGGGGAGTGAAAATAGAAGACAACAGAGCCTGGATAAGCCCCCACAGGTGCGGGTGGGCTGGAGGAGATGGCCCAGCCAGGGCAGAGGTTGTAGAAAGCAGAGAAGGTAGTGGGCAGCCCAGGGTGGTGCAGAGACCTGGGGGAGCATGCTCAGGAAGGGGTGGCGGTCGGGGGTGGCTGATAGGGAGAGGGCAGGTAACCCGAGAGCTACCACGTCCTGGGAGTGTGGTGACTCGGAGGCCATGGTCAGTGACCTGGAGCTATTTTGGTGACTGATGTGATGTGAATGGAAGAGGAATTAGAAAAAGGCAATGGGCTGGTGGAAAGTGGAGAAATGGAAAAAATGTGACCATGCACAGCTTAGTTGAGAAACCTGGCTGCGAGTGAGGGAACAGCAGCTGGAGGAGAGAGTGGGTCTGAGCAAGGAGTGTTTTGTTGGCTTGTTTGCCTTGAATCTGACTGTGGTTGACTTTGTGGAGAGGAGACGAAGTCACTTGCATGAAGGAAGGTGGGGGAGTTTTCGACGGAAACCTGGACATTTGGGTTGACATTAGGAGATTCTGAGTCTTATTTCAATTGTTAGGTTTCAGCAGCCTCCGCTGACACTGTGTTGGCGGAGGAAAGGGGGTGCTGTCTCCTTATCGTGGGGTGCAGCGGGTGGGAGCCCAGGCCCGGGGGTCTCCTCACCTTAAGGCCTCTGCTGACACCACCCTGGCTCTGAGGGGAGAGGCATCACTGCTGTTTTTGGAAGATATATATTTGTATATTTTAGCTGGATATAAGATTCTAGGCTGAGCCTCTTGTGTCTGTGGGTTCAACTTTTCAGCAAACTTAGAAACACTTTGGCACTTAATTTTTTCAAATAGTTTCTTCTGTGCACCCTTCACCTTAGGGGATAAGACATGCATGTCTGTCTGCTCACACATCATCCTCTGATGGTATTTTCAGGTTTTCTTAGTCTTTTTTTATCTTAGTATTTCATTTTCTATATTTCTATTTTTATCTGCGATATCTTCACTGATCTCTTCTTCTGCAGTAATATGCTGTCGATACCATCAGTGCTTTAAAAAAAAACTGATGCATTGTATTTTTTATCTCTAGAAGAAGTTTGATCTGTATCTTTTTGATATCCTCAGTGTCTTTATTCAGTGTGCTCCGTCTACTCTCCCTTCCCAGGGAGCTGCCTCTGGGCGATGCTGGCTGGCTCGGCCCGTCACCTGAAGAGCAGAGGGCGAGCTGGGCAGAGACAGGCGCCTGGTGGGTGGAGACCCTTCCGCTCTCTCTCTGTTAGCCAAGCCTCCCGATGCCACCTCCCTGAGATGATGCTGCTGTTGTCACCTGCGAGGGGGGAGGCCTCAGGGGGCCCCGTAAAGACACAGCGAGGAGGGACCCGGTCAGAGAACCAGGAAACCAGCGCTCGCCACACACGGAATCTGTTGGTGCCTCGACCCTGGACTGGCAGCATCCAGAACCGCCAGAAAGAAACTCTGCTGTTCGCAGCCTCCCAGACTGGGGGCTTTGTTACAGCGGCCTGAACGGGCTAATAAATCACTCAACGAATACTCACTACATTAAATGTCAGGCCCCACTGGCATACCGTGTTTCCCCCAAAATAAGACCTACCCATAAAATAAGCCCTAGCAGGATTTCTAAGCATGTGCACAATAGAAGCCCCACCCCGAAAATAAGCCCTAGTGATGGCGTGGCTGCACAGCGCATCTGCACAACCCATGCATGTCCTCACTGAGCAGGAAAGAAGACGAGCAGCCCTTCTCATCTGCCCCAGGAGAGCTCTAGTGCTCGACATGAGAGATTGGGGCCAGTGGTTCTAAAGGAAATAGAGTCGCAAGAAATTCAGGATGGAATTCAGGGTTTGGAGAGTGATGATGATGTTCCAGAAGAAGACGACTTAACTATATTTGAATAAATGTAGATTGTTGTCCCGTACTTAAAAAGAAATATAACACATCCCCTGAAAATAAGCCCTGGGGTCTTCTTGAGGAAAAATAAATATAAGACCCTGTCTTATTTTCGGGGAAACAGGGTAGTATAAGGAGTGAGACGTAGAATAAAAATGTGGAGTTCCCCAGTAGGTGTCCTAGGGACCCCACGTGGGGACACTGAGCAGCTTTGGGACATTTGATTCCCGCCTTCGCTGACTTCCGCTGCCGGGTCCTGGCCGAGTTCCGGATACACCAGACTTTGCAGATACACACGGACTTTTTAAGGCTTCCGGGCACTCTCCGTGTATCATGTTCTCCAGTGTTCTCTGCAGACCTAGGGGCGATGGTTACAGACTCGTGTTTTACAGCCGGGGAGCGGGGCGGGGAAGCTCGCCCGCCACCACTTCCAAAACCCCCGTGCGCGGGGCGCGCGGTTCTCAGGGTCCCCAGAGCGAGGAGGTCCCGTGGGGCCCTGGCTCTTGGCAGTGGGCGCCGGGTCGCGGCCCACGGCGGTGCCAGGCGTGCGTTATTTACACCAGGACACATGCTGTGGGGAAGGATGGGCAGGCGGCGACTATCTGTGAGGCTCAGACGCAGCGCCCGCGGGCGAGAGCTATAAATAAGCCCCGACTCGCCCACGAGGCGCAGGTACTCTGCAAGGCGGAGCTTCTCCCTAAACTGACCCTAATACGAAATGAAGGGAAATCCTGAGTAGTTCTTTAAGTTAAAAAACAAAACAGAACACATGTGCGCACTCACAAACAACCCTGGAGCTGTGCGCTTTCTCCCTCCGCGCTGGTGGCCCTCGTGCTGGGGACTCAGGTGCCCGGACTCTTGAGTGGCACAAACATCCGCCGAGGTTCCCGCGGTGGTCAGAGACTCAGCTGGAGTTTGTGTGTCAGGGGGACCTGGCGCTCAGAGGGTTGAAAATACGCCTGAGAATTTAAGTCTGAAATTTGGAACAGGCGGAGGAGAGCGGGGAGGGGACAGAATGTCACCGCCCTGCCCTCTCTGCCCTGGCCGGTGGCCAAGTGGTCATACCCAGTTTGCTGGGAAAAGAAAAGTGCACTTCTGGACTCGGAACAGACACGTTCCACTTTTTAGTTTTGATGTTCCCCCACATTTGAATAGGATGGTCTTTTCCTCCTAGGATCGGGCGGACGGTTTCCATTGCAGGTATCAGTTTGGAGAGCTGCGGTGCCCTGCGTCTATTTATAGCACCCGCGCGGCCAGAAAAGGGCGGAGGCGCAGGCGCCGACTAGCTCCTCGCCCGCCGGAGCTGCTCGGTGCTCTCTGCTCTCTCGCCTGTCTGCCTGGTAAGTGTCTTTCCGTCTTCCCTTTTCTGATTTGTGGCTCTGGTGGGAGGAATAGCGGCTTCTGCAAGGAGGCTGCACCGGCGTTTCCCGAGGAACCCGGTTGGGGTGCAGAAGGGCTGCCGGGGGCTCCACAGTGCGCATACGCGCCCGGGGAGGAAGAGCCATTGTCGGTCCTGGGTCTGCAGTCTGTGGCTGGATTTTACGCTCAGCTACTTTCCTTTATTTCCCGCCCTCCGGAGCTTGCTGTTGTCCTGTTCCCACCCCGCTTGAGAGCACCTGCCCCCCCCCCCAGGTCCCGACTCAGCTGGTCCAGGGCTGCAGGTTTCATGAGATTCTCGGAAACCGAAGGCTCTTGACAAGAGGGCAGATTTGCAAAGGTGTGAAACAGAAAGCAGGATGTTTTCTTAGGGAAAATGAAAGAAGCGAGGGCCGTGTATCGTGGGCTCAGAGGACAACGTGATCTCAGGGCTGGGAAAGAAAATGATACTCCATCTTGGGACCCTCAGGCCTGGGCCCAAAAGTGACAGTTGGATTTCTCAGGGCTGTTTTCCTCTGGGTGCTCCTGGACCTTCCAGCACCCTCAGCTTTCTGGGCTCAGTTCCCCTGTGGGGCAGTTCGCAGTCGCTCCTGAGACCCCTGGCCGGGCAGAGAGAGCCAGGCAGGGTCCTGGCAGTAGGCAGCCCCCTGCATGGTGCTGGGGGAGGAAGGGGTCTCAGCACCCAAAACACCTCTCTTTCCGGCTCCCGTTTTTATCTCACTCACGGTTTTATCTCGCTAAGTGGAAGCAAAACAGGAATCCCAGAACACATGGGACAGAGATAACCTCAAGGGGCTGTTTGATAAACTGAGTCCCCAGATAAAACCTGTGGTGTGTGGGAACTGGGGCCAGGCCAGCCGTGTGAGCCAGCCCATCCTCGCGTCCTGCTAGGAAGGCCACGGTTTGGTACGTTTAGTGACTTTGACGTCTGTAGCCGTGCAAACGACAGTTTCTTGCATTAGATGGAAGAGAATGTTTTGTGCCTGGTACGTTCTTGCCAGTTAAAGCTGTTCTTGGAGACGCAAGGGGCGACTTCTAGACGGCTCTCAGGAGGGGACGAGGGCACCGCATGTGGCAGACACTCCGACCCTGCACTTGAGGGCGAGGAGCTCACGTTTCAAGTTGGTGCCCTAATTCCTAAACGTGTCGGGAACATTCCGACAGCAGCCAGGCGCTGGCCTGTGATGGAAACTTGGCTGGATGTCGTCAGGGGACCCGGCTGGTGCCTGGGCTGTGCCCTGGACCCTCCAGTGACCCGGTGAGCCCTGTCCCTTGGAGCCGTCGGGGCTGATGGCACCATGCTGCCACCGCGGTGCCCAAACCCAGCCTCGGACGTGTGTCTGCCAGAGTCAGGGGGTGGCAGCTGCCGCCCAGCTCAGCGCCTGGTTTTGCAACAAAGGAACGAGGCCCCCAGAGCTGAAGCTTGCTCAAGGCCAGTGTCCTTGCTCGTGCCCCAGACACTCATATCACAGGCGACCCTTGTGCAAAGCTTATTTTCTTCCTGTTTTTTTTTGGTGTGTGTGGGGCACGTTTAGCACACATCTGATCTGAGGCCGTCATCTTGAGAAGGAACTCGGCTTTCTGTGCAGAGAGTGGAGGGCGCCTGGACACCTCCCTCTTCTTCATGCCATGAGAAGTGGCACAGGTGGAGCTTCCCCAAATCTGAGCATCCGAAATCCCAAAATACTCCAGAATCTGAGACTTCCTGAGCACTGACGTGACGCTCAGAGGAGATGCTCCCTGGAGCATTTGGAATGTCAGATTTTCAGATCCGGGATGCTCAACCGGTTAAGTATAGTAAACACCAACATTCCAAAATCTGAACATGTCAGAAACAGGGAGCACTTCTCGGCCCAAGCATTTGGGCTAAGGGACACCCAACCTGTGGGGTGAGTTTAGCCAGGTTGTCTCCAGGCGGCCTCAGCTCCCGAACGTCCGAGACGCCAAGGCCGCAGCTACCGCACCACCCCCAGCCAGCAGGGACTCACGTCCAGAGGGTGTCACCATGCCTGGCCCAGAGGTGGAGGTGGAGGTCCCAGGCGGGGCCAGAACAGCTGGGGATATTCTGAAATGCGAGGTCCACTGAGGAGTGGGGCGATGGTGGCAGAGCACACGTGGGGGCCTGGCGTGGTGGTCTGGGCTGGGCATAGGGTTGGTGGCAGCAGAGGAGGCAGGTGAGCGCCAGGGCAGGTGGGCATGGAGGGCTGGAGCTTGCTGCCTCCCACAGGCTTCCATTCCCCAAATCCAGTGATTCCGATTCAGGCTTGGCTGGCGGTGGCAGGAGATCCAAATGTTTGTGAATGAAAAACAGAACTGAGGGTGATCGCATGGGTGGAGGCGTTGACACTTGTTGGTTTCGGTGGCCCTGAGCACACTGTCACTAAGTGAACAGTGAAGTGCTCTGTCACCACCAACCAGAGATGTCTTGGGGAGCAACGTCTGCTGCCAGTCTGGGCGTCAGGTGAGAGCACAGACGGCGTGCACGCGTGAGCCCAGCTCTGCGTTGCGAGCCACTGCCAAGTGCAAAGTGAGCGCTGCTCACACCCTGAGTGCTGCAGACTTCCAGGCCCGCACGCCACGTCGGGAAGGCAGTGGTGACTGCAGTGACGGACGGGACATGCAGTAATGGCTGAGGGGTGGCCGGGCTGTGGGCTGCAATAGATTGACCTGTCTGATGTCATCCCAAGCAAGAGCCCGGAGCCAGTCAGGGTGGAGTATCTGCTTCTGGGTGTAAGGTTTTCTGGCAGCGAAAGAAAATGATAGACAGAGAGTGGGGCCAAACAACGTGGCTTTATTGAGCACTCCTGGGCGAGGCTCGTGGGTCCCAAGAGAAGATGGGGCCTGGAAAGTCGTGTCTGTTTGGAGGGGGTGAGGGCCTTTATACTATTTGGGGCCGGCTAGGGACTTTTGGTGGGAAGAGCTGGGATTTTTCCACCGTGACCTTCGGCGGTTATTGAGAAATAGGAGGGGCTGGTGGTATTTGTGGAATCCAGGAACTGAAAACCTTCTTATCTGGGTGGACATACAGGTGTTGTTGTTTTCAGTGGGGCCTGGCAGTTGTCCTTGGGGGGTCTGGTCTCGTGAGCCTTTTCTTTTTGATCTAGGGAGGGGAGAGGGCCCCACCACCAGCCTTACACTGGGGTTTCAGCTGCTGCAGTTTAAAGACTTCAAGATAACTTACTCTTACCTGGGCCACATCTGGGATCTTCCTTTTGCTAAGAATCATGAACCAATTCGAAAGCCAACCCAACCCAACCCAAATTTTGTGAGGAAATAGTGTGTAAGAGGGGTTCCTTCATGACTTCTGCCATAACCAAACTGCCTTTCTCTGTCCATGCAGAGATTTCTTCTCCGATGGAAGGGGCCTTGTCTGGGAGTCGCTTCTTTAAAAGCCCGACAGATTATTCTAATTTAAGCAGAAAAGGCAAAACTGGAGCTCATTTGGAAGAGTTCTTTTGCACCTTATTTGGGGATTGAGGGACCCTCATGATCACGGAGATTAAGGGATACTCTAACTCTGTAGAGATGATCACATAAGCCAGAACGTTGGGATTTTAGTTATTTTGGGTGACCACATGCCACACGTGGCCAGCCTTGATACCTGCAAAACTTCACATCCCCAGGGGCGAGGATGGAACTCAATTATTTCTTGTTTTGGTAGAGTTTCACCCCAATTGGCCAATTTCCCCACATCCCCTGGGCTTGGATGCTGGGCTCAGTCATCACGTTCCTGCCTCAGCCTGGCAGAGCTTACCCAGCAGTGGCCAGTGAGACTGAGCCGGGAGGCACCCTGGAGCCAGCCCCCCTCTCCACACCCCCTTCTGAGCAGCAAAGGGCTCCGGGCCCCTGAGGCTGACCCCACAGGCTCCGTATATGGCTGTGTCTTCCTAGAGTGACTTCCAGTGTACCCCACGATCATGGGATATCCATCCTTCCACGTCTTGGCTTGTCGGTCCTACCTGTCCACCAGGGGTCCTGCCAAATGTCACCGCTTCCTGGGCCTCTCGGGCTGTCCCCGGCCCCTGCTGTGGTCTCTACATTCCTCAGAGAGCTTATCCTACCTTCTCTTGTGTTCTAAAGTGTTTGTTTACTTCTCTAATCTGTCTTTAATTATTTTTATACCTCTCGCCCACACCACTTTGAGCTGCATCCACGGTTCAACGAAACGTGCAGCACAATCTTCCAGTTCTTATGGAAGGAAACAAGAAATGAAATTGGGTCCCAGGGAGGGTGTCAGGCTCCCTGACTCTGAGTCCGAGATGGTTCCCACCGATGGGACCTCTGCCTCATCCCTTCCCAAAGAGGTTTTATGAGTCCGAGTCAGTGTTCCTGTTCAGAACGATGGGAAATGTGAAGGCAGAGATTGCAGAGCTCCAAGTGAGGATGGGCTCGGCCCCGCGTGACTTGTTTGCAGGTGTGTGCACCACGATGTCCCTGGTGGCACTGCCCTTCTACCAGAAGAGACACCGGCACCTGGATCAGTCGTATCGCAATACCCGCACAAGGTACCTTCTGGATGAATATGCATCGAAAAGGTGAGTTGACATCCACCGATTAGACTCCTAGAGCTTTGATTATGGGGTCTGGTATCTAAAGGCAGGAACATTCATCCGGTCCCCTGGGCTGCGGGGAGGCAGGAGTCTGAGAACAGGGTGCCAGCGTCCCCTGACGCCCATGTCCCCCGGCAGAGGGGGAGCCACGCAGGTCCTGGCACACAAAGATCCAGCATCGTGAGACACTTGAAGGGGTGTCGCCTGCACCCACACACGGAGGCTGCTGGTGTCTGCCCGGGCCCTGGCTGAGCTGGGGAGGCTCCTGGTCTGAGCTCATCGATTTTACTCCTTCTCGTGCATCTTTAGGACCAGGGCCGAAACACCACCAGAAATAGAGAGCAGTGAGAAGGACACTTGTGGGAAAGAACTTGGGCAGGAGGGAAGTTAACGGGGGCAAAGGAAGGAGGCCTGAGTGCCGGTGTTAACAATGATTCTGCAGAGTTAACAGCAGATGTGCAACACCTGCATCTGTCCCCTGCCTGCACGGCTGTTGTCCAGCCAGGTGGAGGTGTCTATGGAGGACAGCCTCCTTCCCCGGGACCTGCTGTGTGGTCGCATCTGCAGGTGTAATGAGCTGGTTGTGGCGAAAGATGGCGGAGACCACGGGCAGCGTTCCCCAGCCCAGGTGCCTACCCCATGTCACCAACACCCTATATTTAGAAACACTCTGGGTACTTTTATTTAGTTGCCCTCCCTGCAGCAAACAAAGCCAAACATTTGCAGCCCCTCCCAACAGCCTCAGAGAGGAGCTTCAAATCCCTTAAGATATATATAATCAGGGCACCGAGCCAAGAGGACGTGCAGGGTTCATCTCGCTGGCTCTGAAGGGCACCGGCCACAGCGGAGCTCGGTGGAGCTTTCCAGGGTGGCACATGTGCAGGGGTGGGGTGGACGTGGGCATACAGAGACATGGGCTTGGGTTCGTGCAAGTGCACATGTGTGTATAGGCATGTAGACGCGTGTGTGCAAGCATGTAGGTGTGCACACATGTGTGAACTCATGTATGCATGTGCACATATGGAGACATTTCTGTGTGTGTGCGTATGGGCACACACGTCCCTGCCTTTGCACAATTATTTGCATACATGTGCATATGTGAGCATGCACGTTTACACTCGTTTGTGGGTGTGGGCAGTGCACATGGATACCAGTGTATGTCCTGCGCACATGCGTGTTGCAGGGATGGATGGGGGTGTGTGGGAAGACTGTGTTGTGCCTTAGGGTACACTTTCACGCTTCTCCGTGCGTCTTCTCACTGTCCCCACACGCGTCAGGGGCACTTCGATCCAGGCGTCCTCCCAGAGGTCTCTTTCTCAGCGCTCGTCCTCGCAGAGGGCCGCCAGCCAGACGCCGCGGGGGGGCACCACGTGCAGGATCTGTGCCAAGCGGATGAGCGCGCAGGAGGAGGAGCAGCGTGAAAATGAAACCCTGAAAAGGCAAGCTGGCGGTGGTGTGGGGCGCAGCATGGGGGGGCGGGGTCTGGGTGGGGACAGGGCAAAGGGCATCAGCTGAGGGCAGCGGGAGAGCGCCAGGGCTCGCCCGGTGCAGTGGGAGTGACGATGACGCTCCGGTTCTCCAGCCCCTTGCTTATGCTCTGCCATCGTCATGTCAATTAGTCCCAGCAAGAAAACTACTGGGAACATGTCTCTGGCACCATGTGTAGCAGAGAATGCTGCCGGCCAGGCCAGAACACGCGTGGCCCTGTCCAGGGTGCGCCCCCTCGCCCCCCGTGGATGCGGGCAGCCGGGTCTGACCTCAGGTCTCCGTCCCGCTTACGCCAAGCTCGCCCATTCCCAGGTAGAGCAGGGTCACTGCACACGGATGCCCCAAGACCTGACGGTTCGAGGCTGATTTGCATTTCCATGGATGGCTTCCTTAGCCGGCAAGAAGACAGGGCAGGGCTGTAGATTCAGCAAGGTCATCGTCCTCAGGGGCAGCCAGGGTTTCACACAGTTGTCCATGTGGAAACCGAAGAGTTGGGAAGGGATTCTATAAATTGTCATGCTTTACATGTCAGTGGAGTCAGCTCATGAGGGCAAAATGCCACGGGAATGAGATGGGCAAATGCTAATGCCAGTCTTGAAATTATTTCCAGATGACAGACAAACAGGTGCTGATGTCACTTTGACCTTTTAAGGACAAAATAAACAGTTAAATATTTGTGAACGCTTCATTCTAAACCTGCTATATTCCCCCCCTCAGCTCCCCCTACTATTTCTAGGAAATTTTTTCTGTATCTCCAAAACACCTAAGACCTGGAGGAAAAAGGAGATCTGGGCAAACATGTTTCCTTTTGAAAGTTGCATTACTATGAAGCCATCTGTTGAACAGCAACAATGTATAGCTGAAAAGATTAACCCTCAGTTTTAAACATTTGAATTATTTTTTAAATGCCTTAGGAGAATTCTGCCAAGGAAATGAGTTTTATTATAAAGTGAAGACTTTGTTTTGTAAAAGAATCTCTTTGAAATGTTAGACATTAAAGCAACCCGATTTTTAACACATCAAATTATGTTTAAAGGGTTCTTCTGCCTATGTTTAAGTTTTGGAGACTAGATGTAGAAGATCCGAGCTGTTGCATTTTATCTTTATCAACGGTGCAGTGGTGCAGTCTTGAACACATCGCACGAACGTTCCATCCCGCAGTTTCCCCACCAGTGCAGTGGTGACTTGCGTGGTCAGGGAGTGGTTACTGTAATTCATACATTTTCAGCAGAAGTGACTTTCCTGAAAGCCCCGGCTGCTGGAAACCTCCTAAAACACTCGGGGCTACTGTCATGCAAGAGCAAGCCTGACTCACTGGTGTGCAGCCACTCTTGAAAGTGTCCCAGGGACAGAACCGTTCCAGCTCTGAGCTGCGCCCACACTCAGGCTCTGGGTTAGGTATTTTTAGCAGCCTCACAGCATCGTGCTCTCCTAGTCCTTGTGCACATCCTCCACGTGAAAAATCCTTGTGAAGTAAGTTCTTGCCTACTTTAAGGGTAAACGTAAATCTTCCAGCATCTCCATGTGTTGGGCCAGAGTGAATGGAGGATTTTTTGGCGTTCGTTCTTTTCCTGCCAGGCAGGAGGTTCCCGGAGGGGTGAGGTGAGCACGCAAACCGATGAGCCCACAACTTCATCTCTCACGAAGGACCGGTCTGTTCGGTTGTGTTTAACTGCCGTCGGCCACGGGAGGTCAGGGATAACTAAGCGCTTGCAGAAAATGCAGAAAGCTTTAGTTCAGTCTTAAACCCACCCAGCTTCCCGAGGAAAGTACACGCTGGGTACCTGCTGCCACGCAGGAGAAAGCCCACACCTGGCTCGCCGCGCCTAGGCCGCCACACCACGCCAGAACCTCCAGCCCACCTGCGCCTGCCTTCTGAGTCTCAGAGCCCTGGAAGCAGCCAAACCCTTTACTTCCTAAATCCAAAAACGTTAAATGATCAGAGCTGCTGTGTGCACGAAGATGAGCAAACCAGCCTCTGCTTCTAAGGGACCCAGATGAACTTCCCGACTGCAAGTCCGGTGCTTGTCACGCTCTGGGGCTCATCCCTCACGATCCACCATGCGTAGGGGTCCCTTTCAGTGTGGGACACAGCCTGACATGTGTGTAATGCTCACACGTGGCCACTGGTGGAGATTCTCTAAATCATCGAGGGCAAGCCTGCCTTCCCTCCTTCCCTTCCTTTCCTTCCCTTCCTTCCCTTCCCTTCCCTTCCCTTCCTTTCCCTCCCTCCGTCCCTCCCTCCCTCCCTCCCTTCCTTCCTTCCTTCCTTCCTTTTTTGACATACTCTCACTCTGTTGCCCAGGCTAGAGTACCATGCCATCAGCCTAGCTCACAGCAACCTCAAAATCCTGGGCTCAAGCGATCCTCCTGTCTCAGCCTCCCGAGTAGCTGGGACTACAGGCATGCGACACCATGCCCAGCTAATTTTTTCTATATATATGTTTTTAGTTGCCTGGCTAATTTCTTTCTATTTTCTTAGTAGAGACGGGGTCTTGCTCTTGCTCAGGCTGCTCTCAAACTCCTCAGCTCAAACGATCCTCCCACCTCGGCCTCACAGAGTGCTGGGATTACAAGCGTGAACCACTGCAGCCCAAGCTTTCTTAATTGTGCACTATCCTCTGTAAAAGAAAGTCAGAGCGTGCATCTCCCATATTTGTTTTATTTGAAAATCACATATAGTTCCATCACATACACACCAAAATACACTCTGAAAAGAGGGATAAAAGTGGGCAGAGACAGCATCTCTCTGTCGTCTTTGCACCCGCTTAAGGAGGTCCCGGAGGAGGGGTCAGTCTGGCTGTTCTCAGCCCAAGCATCTTCTCCACGCCTCCTGAGACTGACGCGGCCTCTTGTCCCCCGCAGGTACCAGTCCCTGGAGGCCGCATACGGTGAGACCAAGCGCCAGCGCTTCCTGCACGAGCTGGCGCAGATGGAGGAGAACGTGCAGCTAGCGCGGTCCCAGGCGCGCGACAAGCTGGACAAATATGCGCTTCTGGAGATGGTAGGGGGCCTCGTGTGCGCTGAGACGCGTGCCGGATGGTAGCGCGCGTCAGTCCACGTGGCGCTGTCTCGGAACCCCGCGCCCCTGACCGCCTTTGCGTCTCCTCTCGGCAGGTGGAGGACAGGATGGCCTGGGAGCGGCCCTCGTACCTGGAGCGCATGCGCCGCGCCCCCGAGATCCTGGTCCGGCTGCGGTCCCACACCGTCTGGGAGCGGATGTCCGTGAAGCTGTGCTTCACCGTGCAGGGCTTCCCCAAGCCCGTGGTGCAGTGGTGAGCGCCGCCCGGGTTGGACAGGCTGCGCGGGCTTCCCTCCAGAAAGGTCCCGGGGAGGGAGGTTCGGGACACCCATTCCGTAGGCTGCCCCGCTCCAGACCCTACGTGGTTGTAAAAACACAAAGGGACTCCATCGCAAATATTTCTGTTTTAGTGGCCTTGGTTCACTGATTTTTCAGAGGGTTCTTATTTAAAAGTCAGTCCCTGGCCAGGTGAGGTGGCTCACACCTGTAATCCTAGCACTCTGGGAGGACAAGGCGGGAGGATCGTTTGAGCCCAGGAGTTTGAGGTTGCTGTGAGCTAGGCTGACACCATGGCACTCTAGCCTGGGCAACAGAGTGAGACTCTGTCTCCAAAAAATAAATAATGTATAAAAGTCAGTCCCTGAAATGACCTGTCCTCAAATGCACGGCTCTCATGCATTCTGCCTCGTTGGTGACTCTATCTGCAAAGCCTGAGTCAGCTTTTAATTACAGAAAACCCATCAGTGGAAAGCTTGACCTCAGAGCTGTGGGACTGCAGTGCGGTGGGTCACTGAACTTCGCGATAATTGAAGAATTGAATCTCTGAGCCCCAAAGAGCCTTTCGTTTCAGGATCTGTTGATGTGTGCACATCTTATATCTGTGTGTTCAGGTCTCCAGCAGTGTGGCTCACGCCATGGCTGCTCAGGACGTGGCTTGGGAGGCTGAGACGTGGCTGCTCTCAGGGCCAGGCAGGGGTCGGCGTGGTCTTGTCCCTGGGTGGACGGCGAGGCCAGCTCCCTCCAGTCGGGACCTCGTGCAGGCAAACCCTGCAGAACTGCCCTGGTGTGGCCCCCTGTACCTAAGGGGCTGGTCTGGGGCCTGACATCTCCTCTGAACCCCAATCCTGCCTCCTCAATCCCGAACAAAGGGCAAGCCACCTCTAGGAGTACCATGGGCCAGGGCTCACCCCGATAGTCTGAATGGTCTAAGTGCTGCTCTCTTCTTAAAAAACTCCAAACCCAGTGCAGCTCTGGCTCTCAGGCTGCTGTGCCGTGCTCCTGCCTGTGGCCCTGAGGGGGACTTTGCAGAAATGGTGCAAGGCCACGTCCAAGGGCTACACATGGGAGGTGGGCGGGGTGAAATTGCAAAAAAAAAAAAAAAAGGAAAACACCTGCCTTTCACCTAACATCCCCGTTTCTGTGGGCAGGTACAAGGACGGCAGCCTGATCTGCCAGGCCGCGGAGCCGGGCAAGTACAGGATCGACAGCAACTATGGCGTGCACACACTGGAGATTAACAGGTAGGCCCCGCGGTGGGGGCCGGGAACGGGCGCGGCAGACCCGGGGAAGAAATGTAAGGGGAGCTGGAGGCCGGGTGGCACCACATCCGTGCACCCGCGTGAGTTAGCAGGTGCTAACCAGGAGGTCTGACGGTGCCCAGAGCTCCCCCTGCCTGTCCCTGGGGCCGGGCCAGGGGCGCCACCTCAGGGAAAGGCGGCGTCCGAGAGCAAAGGCTGCCGGGAAGTGGGTGGTGGTTTTGCCGACCACCTGCTGCCAGGTTTGAGCAACAGTCCGTGCACTCAGAGTCTGCAAGGAAGCACGGCCTTTATTCTCTTCCTTACGACACATCGAAAAATCGTACCAAATGCAGGAAAATAAAAGAAAAACAACCACCCATAGGTCCAACCAACGTCCAGCATCAGTGTTTTGGTGGCATTTCTTCTTTCCACGTGCATTTGTGCATTTTAGGGTTTGTTTTTAAATAGAAGTGAGACCCCGCTGTTCTTTTTTCTGTTTCTCTGCGTCCTCGGGTTTCATTGTTTGCAAAAATGTCACAGAGCGAGCGAGTCACCTTTTCTCCTCTGTTGAGTGTCAGGGCGCTTTCCCGGTCCTGCGTAAATGTACGTGGCTGCCCAGAGTCACGTGGTGTGGATGGCTCACCCTTGTCCTGGAGCCAGCAGGCTGGGGCTGCGTCCACACTGGCTGCTCACCGGTGACCCTGGGTCAGCCGCTAGCTCCCCCGGAATGGCAACATTCTGGTCTGAAAATATTATCGAGATACAGGTGGCAACAATTTTATCTTCTCCGTTTGTCTGATAGAGTTATTATGAGAATCAAATAAAAAGATACCAGTTCTCTTCATCCATGTACATACATGTTACTATGTAGCATACAATGCATGCTAAGAGCATGTGTGTGTATCTGTACCGTTGTTATGACAACCCCTTCTACGAAAAGATGAGGGGTATTAGTAAAAATAATGCAAAAAATAAGTGAGACATTCCATGATTTCACTCATTTTTTTGTGACTAAACTGCAAAGCAATGACTGCATCATAATTTGGCTCAGTTTTGTTTTTTTCTTTCTTAAAATGCTTTGGCTTGAAAGAGGGGCCAGGTTGCCCCTCGGGGACACCACATGTGTGGCAAGGCTGGGGGGCCGGGGGGAGCTGGGGGCTGAATGAGGGGTCACAGGTCAAGTGGGGAAGGGGTCACAGGTCAAGTGGGGAATGGGTCTTCTAGTGGGGTAGGAGGGGGCACAGGCCTTTCGGGAGAGTGGAGGTCTCTTGCTCTGCAGCCCCACCCCAATGCCTGTGGTCTCCTGCTGCACTTTTCAGAGAGTGACTTTCTCTCCTTGAACTCCCACAGTCCGTGGAAATTCTAAAGGGCAACAGCTAGAACATCGAGAAAGGGACCCAGCCTTTGTCTGGGATGTTTGTTCTCCAGCCGAGGTGTGCTGTCAGTGTTGGAAGGGGGAGCCGGTCAGTTTGAGTGAGCGATTCGCCTGTCTCCAAGCTACATTTTATTAATAATAATTGTTTTTAATATTATTATTATTTCTTTACTTTATTTTATTATTTTTATTTTTAATATATTTTTAATATTATTAATAAGTTTTTTAAAAAAGAAAAAATTTCCCTTTCTCAATTATGAAAAGTGCCCTATTCATGCTAGTGCTGGCAACATTTAAACTTTCCGTTGGGAATGATACTGGGCTTTGAACGGAGGGAACTAATACTCTGAGTAAAGCTGGCTACACACGCCACAGAACGCCGGCAATCCGAAAATCCGGACCTGCTTGGCTCTACTTGGGTTTTGCAGAAATATGCAAATATTTGGGAAATTTGGGCAAAGAAAATTCCAAAGACCAGCTTTTCTCTTAATGCTCTTATTTGTACTGGGAAGTTTTTTAACAGTTGAAAGGTTGATATTCTTCAGGAAAAAAAAAAAAAAAAGCAATGGGAAAAACCCACAAATTGCACTGCACAGCTCACTCAGCTGCTCATACCAAACTGCTGAGCTGTGGGTCACCCGATCCGTGTTAAGTGGTGTGGGCCGGCTGGCTTCCCTTTCTCGGCCGGCTCAGCAGTGACTACTCGGGTGACATTTACTCCTATGAATATGCTTTGGCGCCTGCCGCTGGATTCTTAAAGTGCCGAAAAGGAAACTTACCCCTTGGTGCCGTTTGAATCTAAACTTATCATTGACACTATTTTATACGCTCATAGGGTTTTTCTCTCGGGACTCACAAGGTGAGTCCTGTTTCTTCAAAGAATTTTTATGTTGTTCTTGTATTTTTATAAAAATGTTTAAGACAATCTGGATTTTTAATTTGTGATGCCCCTACTTCCCATTCCTTGCAGAATGATTTTAGAGCTAAACGTGTCTTCTACATTACTTTTAAACTGTGATATTTATTTATTTATTTATTTATTTATTTATTTATTTATTTTTCAGAGTTTCACTCTGTTGCCCAGGCTAGAGTGCCGTGGCATCAGCCTCGCTCACAGCAACCTCAAACTCCTGGGCTTAAGCGATTTTTCTGCCTCAGCCTTCCAAGTAGCTAGGACTACAGGCATGAGCCACCATGCCCAGCTAATTTTTTTTCTTTATAATTTTAGTTGTCCAGCGAATTTCTTTCACTTTTTTTAGTAGAGACGGGGTCTCGCTCTTGTTCAGGCTAGTCTTGAACTCCTGACCTTGAGCGATCCTCCCTCCTCGGCCTCCCAGAGTGCTAGTATTACAGGCGTGAGCCACCGCGCCTGGCCTAGACCTTGATATTTAAATATTTAAATTATAGATCTGATGTCATTGCCACTCATACTGTGGGCTCACAGGGCCCCCCCCATGATCCATGAGAAAGTCACCTGCTACTTAACTTTCTGTTTGCCCATCTTTAAAGTGGATGAAATAGACTAGTTTGCTTTTGGGGGCACTTCAAACTGAGACGTTGGGTCACAAAAGCGCCCCGTGGAAGTTCACCTAAATCGAGACCAGAGAAAAACTGTGTCTGTCTCTTCCAGGAACCCGTCCAGATAGAAAATGAAACCCGCGCCTCCTAACCACTTGCTTGCAAGTTCTCTGGGAGTGAAGTCAGGGCTGGAATTAGGCTGTGTCTTAGCTAAGGGCTTTCTCCCCGTGAGCTTGGGAAGGGGAAGGCAGGATGGGGTCCCACTGGGATGGCGACTCAAGGAAGAGTCCAGGCTCCCAGGCGCCCAATCCCCCAGGGACCAAATATTAAGGGAGTAGGGTTCTCCTTCAGAGTGGCCAAGCCCTCCCTCCTGGTGTCCCTCTGTCCACTGCTCCGGATGACACTTCTGTAGCCCATGCAGCCGACCAGCTGGGACAAATCTTCACACCCTCCTTCTTTATGCACGTTTATTTCTCGTCTGGGTTAACACCTCTGTTCTTGTGTACTTTGCATGGCATGAAACATTACAGATGTAAAGGGGATTTGATAACAGGAAACATGAGCAGAGCCCTGCCTGTCCCTGCCCACCCAGTGGCTGGCCTCCTGTCCCCTCAGCCAGGCAGGTCCTGCTCTGAGTCTACCCTAGTCTGAACATTCCCGGGGTTGGGGGCTTCTATATAGACAGGGCCAACCCGGGGACCCTCTGTTCTGGATAAATGCACATAAGCACCCACATTGTGCACGCAGCTGCGGGATGCTGAAGCCCCAGCTCGGGGTCCCTCTGCCTGGCGGTTCCCTCCCTCCAGGCAGCAAGTGCTAATTGGTCGCAGGACAAGCTAATCAGCACTAATGTGCCAGGTGGCCCTGTCCCCGGACCTTAATGCCTTAAGTCCCTCGAAAAACAAGCTGGAAGCCCTTCGGAAGGCTAATAAGAAGACAAACAATAACATAGCAGAAACAGAAATAAAATTCCTCAATAGATCCTTGATATCCAACAATTCATTTTTTGTGTGTATCAAGATTTTTTCTTTACATATTTACTTCTTGTATTGCTGTTATCCTAGATGAGATGTAACCCTTTTATTACTTAATATCATAGCATATATTTTCATGCTGTCAATCATTATAATTATAATTCCATTCAATTTTGGAATTCTCTTCTGATGTCTGACTTTTCACTGTAGAGTATATGGCCTTCACAAAAACATTCAACAGAAGAGATTCCCTAAGCTACCTTGACTATATAAATAACCACATGTAACCTATTAGCATCTATGAAGTTACTTCTAATGAAAGGAGAGACATCACTCTGAGTGATTTTTTCCATATTATAGGCTCCTAATTATTTAAGTATATCTTCATAAAGAAGCATTTCTAATCCTTTGATCTTTCTAATTGGGCCTTTAAAAACTTCCTTCTGCTCCATCATGGCTTTGTTGAAGTATAACAACCGGTCATCATGCCACCATGTATGCTCCTTAGAAGGCAGAACCCATGTCCTGTAAGTCCTTTTTACCTACGTAATAGCAAAGTACCTGCCACTAAGTAATGTCTGGCAACTGTTGGTTAAATTAAATAAGAACTTAGTTTCTAATTGAAAAAAAAGTCCTTCAGAAGGAGAGGCTGTTGGCCAGGGGTGTTGGGACTCAGCCCGCTTGAAAATGCAAATGTTTTTACTTACCCTAAAAATCTCAGAATACTGTTCAATTCAACAGGTGGTAAAAGAATGCCTGTCTGAGGCCCAGGAACAAACACACGTGTGTCATGGGGTTGATGCGTGACCAGTGCGTGTTGCATTTAGGGTGTGCTCTACTGCAATTCAAACATGGCCAAGGCACATAGTGAAGGAGACATTTGGGGCATTCTGTTTGAAAACTAGGACACGCAGTTTGGAAACCATTGGAACTAAACAATGTCCAGCAGGGTTTGGACAGAGGTGTTAGAGATGGTGAGATTTCGGGGCTGATCGACCCACCGTAGTATGATCTCTGCACACCTCCTTACAGGGTGCGAGGCAGGGATGGGGGAGGCTCTAGTAAATCCCTCCTCACCCAGGAAGGGGTCCCGCCAATCCTGCCCCGGCCTGCCAGTGCACCCTGCTCTGTTCGGGGTGCTTGTTTTTGGCTCACGGTCCCCTGCTTCCACATCTATGTCCCTTGTGTGTCCCTGGCACCCGCTCCAGGTCTGCAGATTTCTACAAAGCAGTTTTAACAGGATGCTTTGCTTGTCTCTGATATAACCTTGCAGGCTAGGACATCCATCTGTGTCTTGGGACGCTGTGGGACTCATTTCTCTAACCTGCTGTCACTGGTGGTGGTGGTAGATGGCTGTGGAGGAAGGTTTAGGGCTAATCCCGAAGAATATCTTCCCGTTTAGAGAACACATTTATGAAAACATTAATGGTTTCATTGTTTAGAAGACGTAACACAAGCACAAAGGCAAATAAAAGTTCAAGCAATGCCCAAGGTACTACCAAGAAGTAATTCTTCCATCCACCACAGCTTCTGATGCTAAGCGTGTTCCCTGAGGGCATGTGTGTGCAGGTATCATATGGGTAGATCAGTCTAGATTGTTAAAGCTGAGCAGTGGAGAAATTGAGTGCATGATGGGGTTTTATGTGCGTTTGTCCCTAGGGCTGTGGCAGTCCCTACAGCGTGTCTGGAATTTGCACAGCAGAGTAGCTCCTGATGAGTTGGGGCTGGAATTGCAGCCCGTTGCTGAAGTTACCCACATACTCCTCCAAGATGAGCTGGAAGCCTGGTGGATTTACAAACTATTGTCTTCTAGCAGGAGGCCAGAGGCATTGCTGACACATGGCAACTGGATTTGAACTTGGGGAGGGGGAAGGGGTTCGTGGTGGATAGCGCAGGTCTCTGAAACTGCCTCTTCCCTTTATGGGAGACACTGTGGACGTTTTGGTCAAGGAAAATATTTTCCGCTCCCAGTGGAATAGGGAAGAAAATAAAATTACTAATAACCTTCCCAGAATGGTTATGTTTCTGGGAGTGTTGGCTTCTTAATGCATCTAAAAACTAAGACTCGAGTAACTTTTCTCTCGGAAGTAGGTTTTTTGTGTCATTTCTTTTCCCAGGTTGAGGCTTTGCTCGTGGTCCTCACCCTTGGAGAAAAGCAGGATTGGGCACTGTGGAGCCACGTGGACCCTGCTTACCCAGCATATTGGGGGTGTCAAATTTCTTGCAATGTTAATAGGATAATAAGGTCTATTTTCCTGGGGATCTTGGAAATGTCATATGAAATATCGAGGGGAAGTAAGCAGTGGCGTGCCCAGCATCGAGCAGAATCTTAGTAGAGATCAGCCCTTCCTGCAGTTTCCTGGTGCCAGGTTTCTGGAGAGCTGGTGAAGGATGATGGGTAGCCGGAGGGAAGGACCGGCTTTGGCAGGTGCATATTGAGGGGGTGTGAGGAAGCTGCACCTCGAGAGCCTGGGCCCTTGGCCTTTGTGGGTCTCGGTGTTTTCCAGCGACTGATGGGCACCAATGCTTCTGGCAGGGGCCAGTGCAGACGCTTCTGTGCATCCTCAAGTGCCTGGTTCATAATTGGGGGGTTGTTACTCGGGGATTCTGGACACAATCTCTTACTAGCCAGGGAGTCCCACTGGGGGGTGAGTTGGGATTATAGAATCTGCTTTCCTAACAGGGCATCAGTCATGTACGATGTTCACGTGTCTCAGCCCACACCCTGGGACCCATTGCTTGTGCCGGACCCAGCTCTGGTTCCCACTGGGGCTTTGATGAGTTCATGGCCACTCCCCACCTGGGATCGTTGTCTCAGGAGCATGGCAGGACAGGCAGCCTCCCGGCCACAGTCCCAGGGCGGGTGGCACTAGGACAGCCTGGGGGACACAGATACTCATGCAAGCTCCTGGGCTTGCCTAGGACCAGTGGGGACATCCTCCTGCCCCGTGTCCCTGCCCCTGCAGGCAGCAGACGCCGGACTCTCCCAGGCGGGCCCCCTCCCTGTCCCAGCATCAGCCATTCTGCTGGAGGCTGAGGTCACGGAAGCCCAGCCACGGCACTAGGTCGAACCACGGGTTCCGTAGCAGGAGAAAAATAGGACCAGGACGGACCGGAGACCTCTCCTCGAGGGTGAACCAAAGGGGTAGCTTTGAAAGCACCAGTTGGTAGCTTTTCATTCTCCAAGCCAAAGCCAAGCTGTGTCCCGGGCGCACACGTCCACCCGCGTCTATGATGAATGCCCAGTGCCGCCAGGCCATGCCAGGGCCGGAGCTGGCGTCGTTCTTGCACAAATCACTCATGAGCCGATTACCTGGGTCACGAGACTGGCTCTCGAGGAATGTCTTTGTTCGCTCCAGGCGGCCAGCTCTTGCAGCCTGCCTTGCTCCCTCTCTCCCAAAGGGCGGACTTTGACGACACGGCGACCTACTCAGCAGTGGCCACCAACGCCTATGGCCAGGTGTCCACCAACGCCTCGGTGGTGGTGAGACGTGAGTGCGGGGGCAGGGCTTTCCGGGGTGGTGGGGATGGGCGGCTGCAGCCCCTGCGTCCTCCTCACTGTGCTCACCCCAGCCCCTTGCAGGTTTCCGGGATGACGAGGAGCCCTTCCGCTCTGTGAGACTCCCCATCGGACGTGAGTACCTTGCGGCAGTTTGCTCTCCGTGCAGAAAAACGTTCCGGGATGGATGGTAGCAAATGCTCTAAAAAATTGTATTTTAAAAAACTGTATTTTTAAAAAATATGTATTTTTTTTAATTGTGTATTGTTTTTTAATTGTATATATATTTTTTAATTGTATTTCAAAAAACTCCCCCACATTTTTCCTGGCCGGGGTCCCCGTGCTGACAGTCGGTTCTCCTGCAGTTGTACGGCCGGACGGTATTTTTAGACACGGCTGGGATCACCACCTGGAGAGAATTCGCAGTTTTGAATAGGAAAAACAGGAAACAAATCTGAATGCATGATGTTGCCGTATTTTGTGTTTTTGGATACCTTTTTTTTTTTCCCCTCCAAAGTGTCCTGTTCACTTATGACAACCTTTGGTCACACTGAGGATGTGTGGCAGATGTCGGCTCAGACACGGGCTACTTCTGCCTCTCCTAAAATTTCCTCTCTTGGCCGGGTGTAGTGGCTCACACCTGTAATCCCACCACTCTGGGAGGCTGAGGCAGGAGGATCGCTCAAGGTCAGGAGTTCGAAACCAGCCTGAGCCAGAGTGAGACCCCCGCCTCTACTAAACAAATAGAAAGAAATTAATTGGCCAACTAAAAATATATAGAGAAAAAATTAGCCAGGAATGGTGATGCATGCCTGTAGTCCCAGCTACTTGGGAGGCTGAGGCAGGAGGATTGCTGGAGCCCAGGAGTTTGAGGTTGCTGTGAGCTAGGCTGACGCCATGGCACTCACTCTAGCCTGGGTAACAGAGCGAGACTCTGTCTCAAAAAAAAGAAAAAAAAAAAAAAAAAAAAACCAGAACAATAACAAAAATACCTCCTGTCCTCATGTGTGCGGCCCACCTGCCTGCTCTGTTCTGGCTGCCATTTTGTCACTGAGCCCAACTCCTCATTCCTCCCGTCGGCTATACCCACCTGCCACGTCCCCTGTACAGCCCCCTGGGGTCAGGGGACCTGCCACAGCCCTGTCAAGAGGCCGTCCCCACCCCGGGTCCTGGCTACTAGCTTTGCACTAGGAGGCCACGGTGCTGGGTGACCCACACCTGCAGAGAGTGGCCAAGGTCCCCACACCAGGGCATCTCCACACCGCCACGCGGCGGGCGTTTCCAACACGGCTTGTTCACGCTTTGGGAACATGATCTAGGATTGACCTGGGCTTCCCAAGAAGTGACAGTGTCTTCCCACAGAACCTTTGGTTTTGCGGTGAGGGGGGCTCAGCCGACCCCAAGCCAGGGCTGGGGAGGGAAGAGCCCACCAGGACGGGGGTGGGGCCTGCCCGGGTGTGTTTCGCAGAGGGCCATGCCCGCGTCCCCGGACGGGCGTGTGGGTGCCGGGGCAAGGCTGGCACGGGCGGAGGCCGGGAAGCGTGGGACTTGCCCGGACCCTCGGCGCTGACGGTGCCCGGTTCTCTGCGCAGCGCCCTTCTCCTCCCTGGTCCCGTACACACACTTCGACGTGCAGTTCTTGGAGAGATTTGGGGTCACCTTCCGAAGAGAAGGCGAGACGGTCACCCTCAAGTGCACGCTGCTGGTGACGCCAGACCTGAAGCGGGTGCAGCCGCGGGCTGAGTGGTACCGGGACGGTGAGTGAGGCTGGGTGCTCACGGCCTTGCGGAGCCTCCTGGGAGCTGAGTTCCGCTTTGCCTTTCTTTCTTTTTTTTTTTTTTTTTGACAGAGTCTCACTCTGTTGCCCAGGCTAGAGTGGCATCAGCCTCGCTCACGGCAACCTCAGACTCCTGGGCTCCAGTGATCCTCCTGCCTCAGCCTCCCGAGTAGCTGGGACTACAGGCATGCGCCACCATGCCCGGCTAACTTTTTCTATATATTTTTAGTTGGCCAATGAATTTCTTTCTATTTTCAGTAGAAATCCTGAGCTCAAACAATCTGCCAGCCTTGGTCTCCCAGAGTGCTAGGATTACAGAAACTTTTTCTATTATAAATCCTGGAATGAAATCCTCATCTTGCACTTCTATTTATTACCAAATTCTTAGAATTTTCGTGCAATTTGGGATTTTTGACAAGCATCCTTCCTTTAGCTCTGCATAAGTAACCACTCTTTCCCGGGAAGGGGACCTGCCTTTCTGCTCTTGCTCATTGACCATGTTGCCTTTTCTTCATAGGGGCCAAATTTAGTAGACGGAAAATGATTTCTCATTATTTTATTTTGTGTTTCCTTGATTTCCAAGGCTGAGTACTTTTCCCCAAGCCTGTTCATCATTTGCATTTCTTCTTTTACAATCTGCCTTTTTAATTTCACTGCCTTTCAATGCTCTGGTTTGTTGGTACCTTGATTATTTATCTCTAAGTCTCGCTGGCCGAGGACTCCCCCTGTGCCGGAAGCTGGGGTGAGTGCTTTGGGAGCCCTGGCTTCTGAGGAAACCACCTGTGGCGGATGCTGTGTGGTAGATGGCAAGCAGGCTTGGGCATCAGGTGTCCCGCTGAGAGGAGTGAGCCCACAGGTAGACCCAGCGCACCCGAGGTCAGAGCCGGTGACCATTTTGTAGCCCGCCCTGTCCTCGCACTCTCTGAGCTGAGCTTCTGTCCCGTGCTGCCGACTCCTTTTCTCTGTTGGTGCTCCGAATGCGTGTGCTTCGCGTGGCGTGTGACACGGCTGTCGGGTTCCCACAGAGTCCGGGCTTTGCCCCTCCCCGTCCCCCGGCCAGACTGGCGAGGGCCCCTGCAGGTCGCCTTCGGTTCCTGGGCGATTTCTCACGGAAACCCTCTGTCCCCACGCTCTTCCAGACGTGCTGGTGCGAGAGTCCAAGTGGGCCAGGATGTTCTTCGGGGAGGGCCAGGCCTCCCTGTCCTTCAGCCACCTGAACAAGGACGACGAGGGGCTCTACACGCTGAGGGTCGTGTCGCGGGGCGGCGTCAGCGAGCACAGCGCCTTCTTGTTCGTGAGAGGTGCGGGCGGCGGGCGGTCTCGTGTGGGTTGGAGGAGCCAGGGCGGGCTTTTGGGGGGTCCCCGAGTTTAAGTGACTGTGGATGTGTCTCTTTTCTCCCCCACCAAGACGCGGACCCGCTGGTCACAGGGGCCCCGGGAGCGCCCATGGACCTGCAGTGCCACGACGCCAACCGCGACTACGTCATCGTCACCTGGAAGCCCCCCAACACCACCACCGAGAGCCCCGTCATCGGCTACTTCATCGACCGGTGGGTGCCCGCGGGCGGGCGGCACCCTCCCAGGGATGGGGATGCCCTGAGATGAGCGTTGTCACGGCGACACGTGGGGGTGCTTCGTTAAACGCAAGGTTCTTGCGTGGCTCAGTGACGGCTAGCTGGTCACTGGCGATTGTCCCTGGGTGGACTGAGCCCAGTGTCCCCACTGGGGCTTCTTCCTGCTGCAATCGGGGTCTGGTTTGCTCATTCCACACCCAGCAGCAAGTCCTGTCGTGTGCGGGTCTGTTCTGAGCCGGGCCCGCCGGGGACCCCGTCTAGCAGGTTCCACATTCAAGACTGTTTCTCTCTAACCCCCCAAGAGTGTCAGGACAGCGGCTCCTTCGTACCCAAGTCTGTTGTTTCTGTCTATCAAATTGTAAGAGTTTCTTTTTGTTGCCAAGTAAAAAAATATTGCAGCCTCAGAGCACAAACAGATTGAAATTTCCATTTGAGTTAGTGACTTAAACTGAGATCATCGCTGTGCCCAACGAACAGGGTTCCGCCTCTCTGGTTGTCCGTTACTTGGCCTGCACCCAGGGCCCGGGAGGAAGCTCAGCAAAGTCGAGGAATTTGTTGGGTTTGTAATTGATGCCTCAGATATAAATTTCCATGATTGGAAGAAATTGTAGTTAAAGAAAATGAATTTAGAGGTGAGATAAAGAAAAGTTAGGCGAGGATAGTTCTGGGCAAGTATCTAAGATTTTTTATACAGAACACAGTAAAATAAGGTGGTTATTTCAAGGGGAAAAAATCAAGTGGCTTGTGGGTTTTTTTTTTTTTTTTTGGCTTATTCTGATTAAATTATCTTCTGCTCCCCAGCAAAGCTACTTGTTTAGTTGGAACATTGACCATCGGGGCAGTATTGTGGTAGGATGGAGACAGGTCTGCAGAGTGTATTGTTCAGGGTTTACATTGGATTAAAAAAATAAAACAAAAAACCAAAAACCATCTTTTTTTGCTTCTGTGACATATGGTGATTTTTCCAACATGTTGGCAAAGACTATCTCAGGCCCCATCTCAGTTAATTGTCTACCCTCCTTGCCCTCATTAAATCTGCGGAACATTCCAGAAGAGATGGCTCCCGCACCATGTAGACCTTGCGAACTGCCGGATGTTGGTTTAAACTGGGATTTCCCTGCTGGACTTTCGGTTTTGACCACATCCTTCTCTTCGGCTAAAGCGGTCTGGACCATGGCGTGTGGATCAGAACTTTCATGAAAGTTCTGGATAGTTGAGGGAAGGAGAGCTGTTGGCTGTTTCTAAATGAACGTACAACTCTGAGGTCCGAGACTTGGAAAGACCGATTTTCTGAACTTGCTCTTGTCTCCCAAGAACTTAACTCGAGGTCTTTGTTCTTAAATTTGTCACCCTGTGAAAGAAGGAAGACAATGTTTCCCACATTTCCAGGTTTCTGGTCAGGACTTAGTGAATATGTTCAAAAGGCTCCCAAATGCCATGTGAGAAGTATCTAGAAAGAAGCATTTTCCTTTCATCCTGGGGACTGTAAGCCGAGTACCCCCAGCCCGGCAGGATGAGGCCCAGTTGGGAGCCGGGGGACTGGGGCTCCCTCCTCAGCCTAGAGCTCAGGGGGTGCCTGCAACTTTGCCAGGTTGGTCAGGAAAGGACAAAGCTAAGGTAACTTTCAAGGAGATTTTGCATAACTTTGAAAGCAGGAATTAATCTTCAGCTACAAATGATTAGATTTCATGAGTATATATTTCCTATATGGCATGCATCCTATATAATATTATATATATTACCTTTTCTAAATAGCTCTGTCCTTTATTTACGCCACTATATACATTAGTACTTCCACAGCATAGATTTTATAGTGTTGAGGTCATATATATATATATATATATATATAAATATATATGATAGATATGTGTGAATGTGATATATGTATGAGTGATGTATATATATGTGTAAATGCCTGTGCATATATTCAGTTGACCGCCACATCTGTTACTCTCTGCCCCTTTTTTTTCCGTTTGAAGCTGCGAAGTGGGAACCGACAACTGGGTTCAGTGCAACGACGCCCCTGTGAAAATCTGCAAGTACCCCGTGACGGGGCTCTGTGAAGGGAGGTCTTACGTGTTTCGAGTCAGGGCTGTGAACAGTGCGGGCGTCAGCCGGCCCTCCAGGGTCTCAGACGCCGTTGCCGCCCTGGATCCTGGCGACCTCAAGAGGTTGCAAGGTGGGCGGCTCGGGGCTGGGTTCCCGCGCTGGCGGGAGGGCGGGCAAGTGGGCCGTGGGGCATCGTCATGTGCTGGGTGGGGCGGCAGGGGTCCCTCTGTCCCCCACGCCCCGGCGACCTCGCCTTGGGAGCGGGGACCGCCAGGCAGATGCGACACTTTAATGTACTTCACCTCCATAAAGCTCTTTGCTGGAATCCAAATAAACTGGCTCCAAATTAGAGCTTTCTCAGGCCATGGGTGATATAATTTGAACACATAGTGAAACTTGGGAAGTCTTTAAACCAAGCTGCTCTATTTCTGAGCTTTTTTTTTTTTTTTTTTTTCCAGACAGAGTCTCACTCTGTTGCCCAGGCTAGAGTGCTGTGGTGTCAGCCTAGCTCACAGCAACCTCAGACTCCTGGGCTCAAACGATCCTCCTGCCTCAGCCTCCCGAGTAGCTGGGACTACAGGCATGCGCCACCATGCCCGGTTAATTTTTTCTGTATATATTTTTAGTTGGCCAATTAATTTGTTTATATTTTTAGTAGAGATGGGGTCTCGCTCTTGCTCAGGCTGGTTTGGAACTCCAGACCTGGAGCGATCCTCCCGCCTTGGCCTCCCAGAGTGCTAGGATGACAGGCGTGAGCCACCACACCCGGCCTATTTCTGAGTTTTGATTTCACGTGATGCAGACTCCTCCATGGGATTGGGCCCTTAATGGCAGTTTTAACTGAGCCTCTGTATTTTCCGAAGCCTCGTGGTCCTTTCAACCCATTACAAAGCACTGACAGGCGCTAAATATTCCCCAGGGCCACTTCCACAGTGTCACTCTGATCCCCCAGAGCGCAGTCTAAGGCGTGGCCCATGCAGGGCTGACTCGGGCCTTGCCCTGCACTGCGGAAACCACGTGCTTTCTGCGGGAAGCCGTGGGGCGTCAGATGCAGCGTCTGCCTCTCTCTCCGCAGCCATTCACTTGGAGGGAGAGAAAGACATCGTCGTCTGTCAAGGCGACCTTGAAGGTACGCACACAGCTCCCCACGCCTCCCTCTGCCGCTGCGCCCTGGTATCCAGAGCTGAGGTCAGACCACAAGAAACACCCGCACGGCCGCACGGCCCTGCACGTAAACGTGAAGCTGCAGGCGTCGCCTGCGCGTCCGTGGAAACTTTAGAAAGGAGAAGGCAGAATGAGGAAGTGGGGAAGAGAGTCACAGACCGTCTTCCCTTAGGACTCACAGATGCATTCTCGCAAGTACTTGCAGAGAAGAGACCGAACTGAAGACAAGGTGCGATTGTTACTGGCTACCGCCTCTGTCCTCACGGGCTCCATCCGTGGGATAATTGACACTCCCGTTTGCTTTTTATAAGCAGTGAGTGGGATGGACCATGATGTAGCTTTGGGATTTCGGCAGATATCCTATCTCGGGAAGACTAGTTTGCCGTGTCTGCTCCGTGGTCTGTACGTGCAGACACCTGTCTGCCCCGCGGCTCAGCCACGCCATGCGTGTGCGCTGTCCTGCAGGCGGGCTGACTCCGTGTCTGGAATTCAGCCCTCTCGCCAGGACGATCTCAGACCAGGCCCGAGTTGCCCTAAACTGTAACGAGCCCCGTAACGGGACTCCCGTGACACGAAACCCAATCTTGTTTTCCTTGAGGCTGCTGAAGCCCTGGCCCGGGTGGAGTCCTGAGGCGGCAGCCGGACATCGAGAAGGGCGCAGAGTGTCCCAGGGGAGTTTCAAACCATCTTAATCATGTGCTAATCTAAAGGGAAGCTCGTAATATCTTGTGGGCCTGGAAAACCTCCGCCTCTTGTGAGAATCTCCCGCAGATTCGAACAGAAATCCCCGCACCTCGCATTGCATTAAAAAAAGCCGTGTGTCAGGAGAGGGTCGTGCTGGGCATCTCGGATGGGGAATAGTCTCTCCCCGCTGCTCACAAAAGGCTCGTCAACTGGCTCCAGGATCTCAAACACGCAGGTGTAGGAAATAGTGCTTGCGAACGTGGTTTAGGTCTTCAGAGGAGAAACCGACATGGTGCTTTAGAAGTTGGTGCATGATTCAGGGGTCCTCAAACTTTTGAAACAGGAGGTCAGTTCACTGTCCCTCAGACAGTAGGAGAGTGCGCACTGTGGGCCCGGGACGAGTCGGCTGCTAAGCAGGACAGGCAGCTGGGTAGGGCAAAAACACCCAGCTGGCCAGATAAATGTCCTAGGCAGGTGGCATGTGGCCCACGGGCCATAGTTTGAGGACACCTGATTTAAATTCTTTGCGATAGTACAGAAGGGAGAAAGCAGCCCGCGAAGGTCATTAGCGACGGCACAGCCTCCCCTGCGAGGCTTCTGTACCGCTGGTCACAGGCTGTGATGGTTTCTCCGCACAAATGCTCAACCCGGTCAGGGTCCCCGTTTCAGGGTAAATGCATTTACCCAGATCCATTTCTGGATCTCTTTTGGTAAATCCTCTCCCTTCTTCTGAAAGACTTTTGGATGAGACTCTTCTTAAGAACTGGCTTACATACCTGCATTACAAACAAAATATTTAGCACTTGCATGATGTTTAACTGTGCCTTACACGTTGGCTCTGAGAAAATAGTCTGTGGGTTCGTCTGTTTTCCCAGCACAGAAGGAAGGCAAAGGTCAGCGTGGCGCGGCAGCTCTTCAGAGCCCAGTGACACCCAATGACACCCAGTGACACCCAGTGACACCCAGTGACACCCAATGACACCCAGTGACACCCAGTGACACCCAATGACACCCAGTGACACCCAGTGACGCCAGGGGGGTGCTGCAGGGTGACAGGCTCCTCCCGCTCACAGGTTTGCTCCTCCCGCAGGTGAAGTCCAGATCCCGGGCCCCCCCACCAACGTGCACGCCTCGGAGATCAGCAGGAACTACGTGGTCCTCAGCTGGGACCCGCCGGTCCCCCGAGGCAGGGACCCGCTGACCTACTTCATCGAGAAGGTGCCGGGCCTGCGCATGGTGCTCGTGTGCCGTAGGGGGAGCGGGTCCACCCTTCGTCACAGACACTGCTCTCCTTCGTGCAGGGGCTGGAGGGGCGTCCTGGGGTGGTGGGGGCCCCAGGGGCTGGAGGGGCGTCCTGGGGTGGTGGGGGCCCCAGGGGCTGGAGGGGCATCCTGGGGTGGTGGGGGCCCCAGGGGTGGAGGGGCGTCCTGGGGTGGTGGGGGCCCCAGGGGCTGGAGGGGCGTCCTGGGGTGGTGGGGGCCCCAGGGGTGGAGGGGCATCCTGGGGTGGTGGGGCCCCGGGTGGAGGCTCCTGGGGTGGTGGGGCCCCAGGGGCTGGAGGGCTCCTGGGTGGTGGGGGCCACAGGGGCTGGAGGCATCCTGGGGTGGTGGGGCCCAGGGGCTGTGTGGGTGTCCGGCCTTGCCCTGGGCGTGAGCTTGTCCGCTGGCCGTGAAGGACTGACCCCCCAACCGAAGTCCGCAGGGACCCCAGGTGTCCTCCCCAGAACCACACTCCGGGCTCCCTGCTGCTGCGGATGCTGGTCCCAGAGCAGGGAGACGCTTGCCCTGGCTTGCGGGGTGTGCACAGCTGCGAGGCCGCGGGATGGCGGCCCCGTAGAGGGGACCCATTTGCAGGACTGCTGTGTAGTGGGCTTGAAGGCCTCTTTGCTCTGACTGCATATTTAAAAATGCAAACTGCACTGTCAGCTGCAGCCTGTAAACACACACACACACACACGTGTATGTGCATGTCAGCAACAGAATTCACAAACGACAGCCTTGCCCACTGGGCGTCCTCTCTTGCTTTAGTCTGTGCTGTTGCATAAAAAATGTAGGTTGTGGCCGGGCGCAGTGGCTCACAGCTGTAACCCTGCACTCTGGGAGGCCGAGGTGGGAGGATCACTCGAGGTCAGAAGTTCAAGACCAGCCTGAGCAAGAGCGAGACCCTGTGTCTACTAAAAATAGAAAGAAATTAGCTAGACAACTAAAAATATATACAAAAATTTAGCCGGGCATGGTGGCGCATGCCTGTAGTCCCAGCTGCTTGGGAGGCTGAGGCAGGAGGATCGCTTGAGCCCAGGAGTTTGAGGTTTGTGAGTAGGCTACCCACGAGCACTCTACCCAGAACAGGGTGAGACTCTGTCTCAAAAAAAAAAAAAAATGCAAAATACACTGTCAACTGCAGCCCTGTAAACATACACGTGTGTATAGGTATGTCAGCAACAGAATTCACAAACAACAGCCTTGCCCGTTGTGTATCTCCTCTTGCTTTAGTCTGTGCTATTGCATAAAAAACTCAGGTTGTGGCTGGGCGTGGTGGCTCACGGCTGTAACCCTGCACCTCGGGAGGCCCAAGCCCCGAGAATCGTCAAGTCAGAGTTCGAGACCAGCCTGAGCAAGAGTGAGACCCCCGTCTCTACTAAAAATAGAAAGAAATTAGCTGGACAACTAAAAATATATATAGAAAAAATTAGCTGGCATGGTGGCGCATGCCTGTAGTCCCAGCTACTCAGGAGGCTGAGGCAGGAGGATCACCTGAGCCCAAGAGTGTGAGGTTGCTGTGAGCTAGGCTGACGCCACAGCACTCTAGCCTGGGCAACAGAGTAAGGCTCTGTCTCAAAAAAAAAAAAAAAAAATACCCAACTCAGGCTGTGACCCACTAATCTGCCTCGGTGACCTGCCACAGTTGGAGAAATCTTTAAAGTCGTAAGAACCTGTAACTGTGCTTTGGGGACACTAGGTTTATATTGTTACATATATGACGCTATAATATGTAGTACACACATGTGACAGAACATCACATTTAACATAACCGTGTGATCTGTAACACAAAAACCCCGTCCAGTACCGCTCCGTGCGGCAGAAGTGGACACTATCTCCGAGCCCGGAACGCATGGCGGCCGTCTGTGTTCCCTGCTTCTCCGCAGCCGCTGGCATCCCGGGCAGCTGTAGCTGGAATTGCTGCAGGGCGACATGCCACCTCATCAACTGTGGTGATAGCATACGGTTATCTGCAGCAAGCCCATGCCGGTGGGCAGCCCTCTGTGCGGCTGCCCCCGGCAGGCGGGGGCGGCGTGTCCACGCGGGGCTGTCTGCGTCACTAGCTGCGGTCAGCACTGAGCACGTGCAGGCACGCGCTTTGACGCAGGAGAGGAAGCTGCGGCACCGCGGGGGTGACCCGGCCCAGGACCCCTGGCGGCGGGCGCGGTGGCCAGTACCTCCCAGCCTGCCTGGTAGTGTCTCCGGTGGCCCAGTGCCTGGCAGGGCCTCAAAGGAACCACAGAACAGTTACAACTTATTTTTCCATCTTGATCCTACGTTTCCCTTCCGTGCTGAGACCAGGCACGCAATGGGGTGGGCTGCAACCATGCAATCAACACGATGGGTTTTAGCCTATTGCTCCACGCTGGGTGTGTGGTGGGGGAGGCATGGGTGTCCCCCTGAGCGAGCTGGTTTTATGATTCCAAGTTTAGCGACGGCTGAATGCCCCTTTCCGGGTAGAAGCGTGTTGGTGCACAGCCTGCTCTCTGTGTGCTGGGACTTGTGGCCGGTCATTCTCTGTGAGGGGTTTTGCTCGTGTGGAGTGGCGTGTCCGGCCTGTGGTGTGTGGTCCATGGGTAGTAGTGGCAGCCCCCAGGGAGGTGTCCTGACCCCCCAACTGCCCTCCTGGCTCTGCCTGAAATACGCACAGGGCAGGGCTCAGGTCTGGCTGCAAGGGCCTCCGCAGCTTCTGGGGGCTCGGTGTCAGGCCCCCTTTGAACCAGGTCCTTTTCTCCGCCCGACCCCAGCTGGGAGTCCCCACACCCCAGGCTTTGCCACGTGGACCCCGCCTGGGGCAGAGTGGGCAGCTGTGGCGAGCTCAGCCGCCGTTCTCTCCACAGTCGGTGGTGGGCAGCGGCGCCTGGCAGAGGGAGAACGCCCAGACCGCCGTGCGGTCCCCGCGCTACGCCGTCTTCGACCTCGCCGACGGGAAATCCTACGTGTTCCGCGTGCTGTCCGCAAGCAAGCACGGCCTGAGCGACCCGTCGGAAGTCACGTCCCCCATTCAGGCCCAGGACACAATCGGTGCGTCTTTACCGTGCGCGGCCCAAACACAGTGACATCAGACAGCCTTTATGTGTGTGAATGAAGACACTGGTGTCACGTGTGTGCTAAAACTCACATTGCCCTGACCCCACTTCACAAGAGATGAGGGCTCTCTGCAGTGTCTTGGTGGTTCTCAGCAAGCCTCCAGCGTCTTTTCTGGAACCTGCAGATGAGCGAGCTGAGATGTGCTAGGGCGACGCTCACCTCAAACACCTGCGACCCTAGACGCACTAGTTTCTTGCCCGCCTGGCTGGAAGATGCCTGTTGGAAGACATAAAATACAAACGATAGAACGTCTGATGTGCGCTCCACTTAGGAGTCATAGCGATTATCAGGAGGATGGCTTGAAATCCCTGGGCGGCTGTGTATAGAAACATTTTAGTCGTCTGGAGTTCCGATTCTGAGTGACTGGAGCCTCCCTCCTCTCCCCTTAATGCTTGATAGTAATAAAAAAGCTGGACATCAAAACAGACAAGGTACTCGGGCCGCTACCTCCAGCCCGTCCCTGGGCAGGTGTCTACCTGGTTCTGGTTTAATCGGGCTCTGGGTCTCACACCCAGAGCCACACCCTGGGTGAGACCCGAGGTCTTCCAGCAAGGACCCGGCCTCTTCTCTCTCAGTGGCGCCCACAGAAAGTGACACTAATTGGCAAACCCGGGGGTGTGTGGCCAGGCGGCTGGCTCTGAGGACCCCATGTCCCCGTGGGCTGCCGAGACCCTGTCTGCAGACGAGAGGGTCAGACGGTCAAACCCTGATTTAATTTTGAGTCCTTTCACACACTCCGACGGATCTGGTGACAGTGTGTTTCATTTTCTTAAAACGGGTAATTTCCATTCCCCAAACAGTCATCACCCAGGTAGACAAATGATTTATGCCACCGGAAGGAAGGTCTCTAGTAGCAGCTCTGGTGGAGGGGGCAGGAGATTTCGTGACTTCGCTCTTTCCCTTTAGGAGTCGGGGAGCTCGGGAAGAGGCGGGGGGCTCATCTCCCTGCCGCTCAACCCCTCGCCCGCATTTCTGCCAAAGCCCAGCCTGCTTTGCCGTCCCGCTTGTTCCCGGTGGGTGGGAGAAGGGCTCCAAGTCTCTGGAGCAGCTCGTAGAACCTCACCCCGTTTCTCCAACCGTTTTTCTGTCCTGGGCGCAGTGGCTCCTTCTGCCCCCGGCCGCGTCCTGGCTTCCCGGAACACCAAGACGTCGGTCGTGGTGCAGTGGGACAAGCCCAAGCACGCGGAGGACCTGCTGGGGTACTACGTGGACTGCTGCGTGGCCGGCACCAACCTCTGGGAGCCCTGCAACCACAAGCCCATCAAGTACAACAGGTGCCCGGCATCACCTCCCGCGGCCCCCAAACCGTTGCCCTCAAACACAGCGGGAGACGCAAAACCAAGCAGGGAGGGAGCCCCATGCAGCTCCCAGAACGGCACAGCCGCCGAGCGTCTGTGCGAGGAGCCAGTTTTCACGTGCAGAGTGAAGGCTCTGGACACCTGCGTGTGCCGGTCACGCCACGGGCTCTTCTTGGCTGACGCGACTTACTTAGGGGTGAAAGAGGAACTTCCAGAACCCGAGTTTTTTTCCCCCCGATAGAATTAGCATTTAGGACTTTTCTTTGAACAGGAGCGTTAAAAACAGCAACTACGATGTTAAAAGTCATTTTGTTTTTCCATATCGATTTTTTTCGGACTTTTCAAGTGGCTCTATCGGCATCACTGGCAGCCCCATTCCCCGGCCCCCGGCCACGGCCCCACCGGAGACCACGCCTCTCTGGTGGCGGGAAGTGGCAGCTCTACTTTTGGGATTCATTTGCTCCCACTGCCGGCTGAGCGTGCAGAGATGGGCTGAGATTATCAGGGTTTGCAGATGATATGCTTCTTGGGAAAATGTCAGCGGTGGTCGGGGTCAGCCTGTGGACAGGTTATCAACTATGGCACATCTGTTTTTCCTTTTAAAAATCTTTAAAAAAATGCATAGTGAAAAGTAGAGGCTAGGAAAAGAAAAAGATGTCACTGAGGGGAGTAATAGAGGCTCCTCAGGCCCACCGCAAACACGGAAAGATCGATCAGAATAAGAAACTGCAAATATTATTCCAGTAGAAGTTTTGTAAATGATTCATAAATGTTGGCTGATTATATAAGATAAATAATTATCGCCTGCCTTTGCTGACTCTCCACCATGCACCAGGCAACGGTGCTAAGATTTTTTCGTTAGGATTTCCATTTCAGGCTTGTAGCAGCGCCATGAGGGGGCTGCTATTAATACTGTCCCTGCTCTAGCGGCAGGAGAACTAAGGCTTGCAGGGCTAAGTCCGTTAATCAAGGAACTTATTAAGGACGTAAAATCTATTAAGTGCCAAAGCCAGGACTCCAGCCTAGTCTAGCTGGCTTCAAAGTCTCAGCCTTTAACCACTACAGTGTAATTACTTTTCATTAATTTTTACAGACCCAGGTTCTTTTGGATAAGGGATTGGATACTGTTCCTTAATAACCCTTCGATGCAGGCGAGACCCAGGAGGGGCAGAAATGAAGGTGGAGTCACAGAGTGAATGACTTAGAGGCTAAGTGCAGTCAGCTCCTGGTAGGACTGGGCACTGTGACATCGCTTTTTTTTTTTTTTTTTGCCTTACATATTGAACTAATTAACTTACATTGAAAACGAAGGGTCTATGTCGTGCATACATAAGGTGTTCAATAAGCGCACTTGGTTTAGTCCAAGTGCAGACCTGTTACAGCGTGTTCAGGGTGATTTCTGCAGCCCTGCAGTTCGGAGCCTGATTGGAGCTTTTCTCAGGTTCGTGGTCCATGGCCTGACCACCGGTGAACAGTACATCTTCCGGGTGAAGGCGGTCAACGCCGTGGGCGCCAGCGAGAACTCCCAGGAGTCTGATGCCATCCGGGTCCAGGCTGCGCTGAGTAAGTCTCTCACGGCTAATCTGCGCCAGCTTCCCTTCCCCCCGCACGCTGTAATTTCTGCATGGATGAACATTTATGATGCCGTTTGCGTATCAGCAGAGGGTAAAAAGTGATGCGAATGTTGAGCAGAGAACCTATGTGATCTAACCTCTCATTAATTGGCTATTTGTCTTAGAAAAGGGAGAAGGAGAATGAGAGGGGGAAATGGTAATAAAACACTAATAAAATGCAAATTAAAAATAGAAAGCATTATTTAGAGGGGCACATTTGCTTCCCAACATCTCTACTCACCTTAAAATGTATGCTATAGGGTATGGATTTGCCTTTTCAAAATATGTGAAAATAGAACATCACCGGTGGCCTTTTAGCTATTCTTAGTTCAAGGAACTTTAATGAATCATTTCAGAGAATTTCATGTGCTTATGTGACTTTGTTCATAAATAGTGATGTTTAAATTTTTATTATTTTGATCCAATGAGATAATTCAGGTCCAAAATCTTGGTGACGGTTCATAGCACAGTTGCTCTGCAATGCTCTGGGTTTTGCAATTGTTCCTCTAGTTATTTACTGTTTAAGGCACTGGCCCCCATAAAACACATTCAGCAACATTTTGAAACACAAGTGTCACATATTACACAGCTTGAATCTCTTTACTTCTGAGAAAAATGTTTTGCTCTTTAATTATTTTTCATTGCCCACTAAATTCACGAACATTTTCAGAAATTAAAATTTCTCTTTTAATGACACTGCCATTGGGATTTCTGAGGAATGTCAAGTCAGATAATTCCTAGGTAGCAGAATCTCTTTTGCTATAAGGTTATTGTTCTAATCTCCTATCAGCTTTTTCCTGGGAGAGGCTTTCAAACATTCCCATTTGCGTTTTTAAGTCATGCCTACTAAGTGAAAGCAATCATTTGCCTTTTTATTATACAATAAAAATTGCTTCTCATGGTCACCTGTATCTCAGGTAACTGGGGGCGACCACACCGAGGCTGCTCAGAGCCGGGGAGGAGCAGACACACCCTTTCTCCACCTATCAGGAAAGCACACTCCATTTCCAAATTCGGTGCTAAAACTGGGAGATGTGAATTCATACCCATTTGAAGTCCCCATGATTGTGCAGGGACCTAAAAGTTACTGGAATAAGGCAGGTCTGTCGTCCCCGGCTGTGGAGGAATAGGTGTTCTTCGCGGCCGTGATGGAGACGTCCTCAGAGATCCCTTTGAGCGAGCAGGGAGGTATCTGTTGTGTCAAATGTTCAGACCAGATTTAAACAATTCTCTTCCCTCGTGTTGCCGAACGATAGGTGGATGCATTTAGAAACAGCACAGGATATGTAGGAGGGGACTTCTTGTGTTAACTGATCCCCTTTAAAGGAAGAGGTAAAATCCCACAGTGACCGCACAGTCAGGGAAGCGTGGCGGTGGGCACGCGTGTGCAGGCCGCCCTGCGACGCCTGCGCCTGCCCGCCTGCAGCCACGCCATCCCACCCTTACGGGATCACGCTCCTGAACTGCGACGGCCACGCCATGACGCTGGGCTGGAAGGTGCCCAAGTTCAGCGGCGGCGCAGCCATCCTGGGCTACTACATCGACAAGCGCGAGGTCCAGCACACCAACTGGCACGAGGCCAACCCGTCGCCCGTCAAGGACACCGTCTTCACGGTTGGTTTTCTGTTCGCTTTTGCCCAGTGACTTTGCATCTGGGGGCAGGCGTCCTCCCCCAGTGTCACAGGGTCTGATGACATTAGAGCATTCAGTGCAGAAACACGCGACAGTGTCTCGAGACCCTAGAGTTTGGAACTAGAGAGATGTCAGGGACCATTTTTTTCTGGAGGAGCAATGAAGATGACACAAGCCCAGTAACTGGGTGGGTCTGACGATTAGTCCATGCCTCTGGCGAGGCCGGACCCTAGACACCGGGACCCACAGACCTCATGGACTGCAGGGCCCTTGCCTCACAGCTGTGGGTGTGCAGCAAGGACGGGCTCCTGCCTCCCGGCTCCTGCCCCACACCCCAGGGCCTGGGCATGGCCTGAGCCTGCTCCTGGGGTCTCTGCACTTTGCCAGCTTGGCCTCTGTGGGCCTCAGTTTCCTTCCCCGGAGGAGAGATCAGGGCATGGCCAAGACAAAGCCTGGCAGCTTTGACACCGACTGCGGCTGGTCAGGTGCATAAACGTCTTCTCCAAACATTTGTCTTCTTTGCTGAGAAAGCTCCGTCTCCACTCACGGTTCATATTACGAGTCAGTCTTAAACACACCTTTGCCCCCGTGCCCTGCCATGCAGCTTTCATTGTGGGTATTAATCTAAACAAAATCCAAACAGGTGGAAGGGCTGATGGAAGGCTCGCTTTATGAGTTCAAAATCGCTGCCGCCAACCTGGCCGGCATCGGGGAGCCCTCAGACCCCAGCGAGCACTTCAAGTGCCAGGCCTGGACCATGCCCGAGCCGGGTAAGATGCTTCCCTCCCGCACTCGGTGGGGGGTGGTGGCCAGGGAGGGACTCCGTGGCGGTAGCCGTCTGTCTGCAGCATGTCCTCAGCAGCCTCCTGGGGCGAGGGTCTGCTCACCTGGCACCGGTGGTGTCGCTATGGGGAGGCGCCAGGCATGTGGCGAGTGAGGCCCGCCTAGCATCTGGGCTCTGGGCCCTGCAGAGTCACGGAGCAGGTGCGGGGTGCGGGGAAAAGGACACCCTGAAGTGAGAGGCAGGAGGGAAGGGACACCCAGACCAGCCCCCACCCAACTCGTGACAAACACTTGGGCCTGGCCACCTTCTCCCAAAGTAGAAGTGAGAGGGTCCCGGGGCCAGGGGCTGGCATGAGACAGAGCGTGGCTTTGGTTCTCATCTGACTATTAGCCAAGGCCGTCCCGTGCTCCAAACACTCAGGCATTTGGGGGCCTCTAGTTCCAAAATGCATAATTGTTGCAAATATGCATTTATTTAGAACCTGCATTTTTTAACTGTTTTCACAAATTTTAAGAATTTGTAAAAACTTAAGGTGCTAGGCCTCGATTTGTGGCAGCTTGTCTCCAACCTGTCTGGACTCAAATTGCAATGGAGAACATGCTCATTCTTTGCAAAACAAAAAGCCTAAAAGTCGAAGCTGAAAAAGCTCAAAGTTCAGAGTGGTTTTCGATTTTGTGGCCTGATTATAGTCCGTTTTTACTTCCCATCCTCCTCCCTTCCTCCTCCTCCCCTCCCCCTCCCTACCTCCTCCCTCTCCCTTCTGTTTTAATGTAGTTAATTTTTGCCACTTAGAAATAGCAGGGGAAGAAAAAGCCATTGACGTTTCCAGAGCCTTTCTGAGGGTTTGGTTTGATTTAGGAAATAAAAGACATTTCCTAATGGCTTCGTGTGGTCCAAAGGCCACAGTGCAATATGGTCAGGACAGGGTGGGGGTGGGGAGTGGCACCTGTCCCCTGTCCCGCCCGGTGTTCACCTGGGCCCAGGCCACCAGCACACAGGCTTCCAGAGCTGCCTGGGTGTCTGTAGGGAGCAGAGCTGAAGCTGCCCGGCTGTCCGGGTGGTTTGGCTCCCTGAGTGACTGCTGTGACCGACAGGTGCCCAGCCCTGTGGGTGGGTGACCCGAGGACCTCCTGTTCTCCTCGGTAGTATCTGCTGGTTGCAGGAGGGCATGGTGGCCTCGTGACCTATTCTGAGTGTGTCCACAGGCTCCGGATGTCTAAGAGAGGAGGCCGGGCAGAGAGCCCTCCTTGTGAGTGCTGCTGAGAGAGGGGACATGTGATGAGGAGGGCGGTGATGCTACTGGGGGTGGCACCTGCCAGGTGCGCAGTGGTCCCCGTGCCTGAGTCCGGGCGGCAGGCGTGCGCCCAAGCATGCAGGCAGGGCTCAGGGCTGGTCTGACCCCAGGTCCTGCCTACGACCTGACGTTCTGCGAGGTCCGGGACTCCTCCCTGGTCCTGCTGTGGAAGGCCCCGGTGTACTCCGGCAGCAGCCCTGTGTCCGGGTACTTCGTGGACTTTAAGGAAGAGGATGCCGGAGAGTGGCTCACCGTGAACCAGACGGCGACTGCAAACCGCTACTTGAAGGTGACGCCTTGGTCTCCGCGGCAAACGGGCACAGCAGACGCCAGGGCGAACCTGTGCAGAGTGATGGCTAGGCCTGGCCGGGGGCCTGCAGGAGGGGCGCCTCTCACCTGGGAGGGTCTGTGGGCCCAGGGACGGCGGGGAGGGGCCTGGGCAGGGTGCCTTCCCCTTGTCCACACAGAGCCCCGGGAATCCTGAGCTGTGCATGGCCTGCGCCACTCCCGTCGCAGCGACAGCCGCTGACCGCGCTGCTCCGGGTTGCGTGTGTGCATGCGGTCTGCACAGCGGGCTAACGCAGCATTTCCTCCTGTCCTCCCATGCCAAGCCCACGTTAGCCTGCTTATGTGCTTGCTGATAGACGTCCATTTGATAAACCACATGCACACACATACGTGCACACACAGACACATGTACACACACGTACACACAGACACACGTACAAACATGCACATGGACACACAGGTACACACATATACCAGACACACGTGTACACACATGCACACATGTATACATATGTACACACATGCACAGGGACACACATGTACACACATGAACACACATACACACAGACACATATGCACACACTTTTTACACATTTGACAAAATCACAGTGTGTAAATTGCTCCATCCTCTATTTGTCTGAATATTCCCGTTTTTAGTTCTTACACCATACTAGAGCTGGGTCAGCTGCAGCAGCTGTTTCTAGACCAGGGCTCACATGCCCCGGCTGATGTGCCAGGTGCCTCAATCCAGAGGTTTCCTTCCTTGGTTCCGGCCCAGAGGTGCCGTGAGACCGGGCTGCAGCCTGTGTCCGAGCCAGGCAGCCGGCCCACAGCAGGAGAGGCTGGAAGCGGGCAACAGTCTCTGGAAACCGATCGCACAATATGAAACAGCTTTTTTTGGGTGAACGAATCTGCTTCTAAAAAATCCATTGAAATAAATCAATCAGAAATTTAGTTAGCCTATATTGATGGTTATCAGTGCAGATTATAGTATGGATAATCTACGTATGTATGAGAAGTGATTGGTTTAATTTTGATCTGTCCAAATGCTGATTTTGCATAGTTAAATAAATACCACATTTAAAATAGTGAGTACCAGAGAACTATGAACCCCAGATGATAAACTAGTTGATATGATCTTAATTCTGCTTTAAAACATTCAGAAAAAATGAAAAAAACAAAAGAGAAAGAAATTCAGAGGAAAAGAACGAAAGAGGCATAGCGAAATTGCAGCAAATCTGCCAATTCTGCAGAGTGAGGCCGTGCACGGCTGTGGAGCCTTCTCCTCCTTCTCTGGTTCACTGTGTCCAGTTTTTCCAACTGAAAACATAAGTTATTTTAAAGCAGAGGGTGTATCCGCGAGTCCGTGTGAAAAGTCACAGAGCCGTCCCTGTTGCGTGTCCTCACGGACGGCGTCTCCTGTGGTTTCCAGGCCAGCGACCTGCAGCGAGGCAGGACCTACGTCTTCCGGGTGCGCGCGGTGAACGCCAGCGGCGTGGGGGGCCCGTCGGACACGTCGGAGCCGGTGCTCGTGGAGGCCAGGCCAGGTGGGACTTTGACTTTTCGCCGCTCAAAATGCAGACGTTTATTACAGAGCCGAGATGACTTGGGGGTGTGTGTATCGCGTACGTGTTAGTACGTGCGCTTATGGATGGATGGATGGATGGATGGATGGATGCACATCTCGCCGTGTTTTTAACCACTTCGGGACCAGCGTTGACTATAGTCGACAGCCACAGATGGACGCGCACAGCGACTCTAGCCGACAGCCGTGACATGACTTTTCTAATTTTTCATCTATCAAAATAAAATTGTGAACATTTGAAAATAGCATAATGAAAACATATATGTACATGTTACCCTATTCTGATTTACATGACAAGTGAAGCAGCCTGTAGAGTCAAACAAGCGTTCAGGGCCTTCAAGCCTTCCTCACCACGCAGGAGCAGACGGACCGCCGTCAGTGCCCAGCGCAGACTGCCCTGGGGCTGCGGGCCGCTGCGGGCGAGGCTTCGCAGCCCTGAAGTGGCTGAAAGGACACGGCCAGCAAGTGAAGTGAAGTGTGCACTGTGGCCCAGCCGGGCACCAAGACCCGGTTTGGTCATCGTCACGCTGGGCAGGGATTGTTCTTGGAGCAGTCAAGAATGCGCAAGGAGGGAGGGAGGCGCTTTTTATGTTCATGTCGCATTTTGATCAGAAAAGCGTAAAGCTGTTGGTGATTTTCTTGGCCCTGGTGAATAATGCCCCCTCGAGGCAGCCTTAAAAGGGAGTGCTCTGGAGGTGGGAGACAGGATCCTGGGGTGCACAAGCTGTTTGTGACGCTCCAACAGAACACCTGAGGCTGGGCGGTGTGATAAAGAGGAGATTATTTGGCCCACGGTTCTGCAGGCTGGCGGGTCCAACAGCACCACGTCTGCTGGGTATCCTGTGAGGGCCTGGCGCCGGGGAAAGGGCGCGGCAGAGGGGCGGGCGCCGGGGAAAGGGGCCAACATGGTGTGCAGTCGCCCTGCCCGTGGGAACTGAGCCATTCTGTCAGTGAGCGGGCACTGGCCCCGTCTGTCCAGAAAGACGTGAAACTGTCTGAACAATCTAATCTCCTCTCTAAGGCCTCGTCCACTCTCCAGCCAGAGGCTGGGGTGTGTCTCGCTCAATCCCTGATTTCTAAGGGACAGATTCTGGCTCGAGTTGGGCCAGGTGTTTACTACATGGCTGCCACACGGCTGCCACACGACTGCCAGGGCCTCCTCTGCAGGGTGGGGGAAGGATATCTCAAGGAGAACAGGGATCCCAGGCACCTGGCCAGGCAGCCTCAGAAGTTGTCTACCGTGGTATCAAATGCAGAAAAGGAAGTGCGCAGAAATGTGGTAAATTAAAAAAAAAAAAAAAAAAGCAACAACCAAACAACCAAGCGGCTCTAGCATCTGTCTGCTTCTTCTTCCGTGATTCCCCGGGGCAGCCCAGGTGGATGTTAAACGAAACTGATGATTCCAGGTAAACCGAGCTCTCAGCTGGGGCTGAGAGCCGCGCCCTCTCTCCAGAAAAGCCCTAACCAACAGAGCCCTAAGAGCCTCCCGTTCCCACGGCGCTCACTTCCCACTCTCGCTGCGCAGGCACCAAGGAAATCAGCGCCGGGGTTGACGAAGACGGCAACATCTACCTGGCATTCGACTGCCCGGAGGTGACCGACGCCTCCCAGTTCACCTGGTGCAAATCCTACCAGGAGATCTCGGACGAGGGGAGGTTCCGCGTGGAGACCGCCGCGGACCAGTAAGCCAGGCGGGCGGTGGCCGGGCGTGGGGCGCGGGAGCTCCGCGCAGAGACGGCCACGCTCACCTGCTGCCTTCCTTTCCAGCTCGAAGCTGTACTTTAAGAGCCCAGACAAGGAGGACCTGGGCACCTACTCCGTGTCCGTGAGTGACACCGATGGCGTCTCGTCCAGCTTCGCTCTGGACGCAGAAGGTAATTCCCGCGTGGCATGGGCTGGCCACGGAAGAGCTGATCCCACTCTCAGAGACTGGCACCGATGCTGGAGGGGCTTATTTGCTCAGAGAGAAAGGCTGCGTGTTTGCGGGAGCCGGGGGAGTGTTTCTCATAAGCCGCCAATGACTTTAGAAATCAAATGCACTCTCGAGTTTGTGCTGTGTCTAACAGACAATCATCACTGGTCGGGACATGCTGCTTGTACTTGCTCAGGCTTCAACTCGCTCCTTCTAAGTTGAGTTTCAGACACATTTGAGCAGTTCAGCATGCAGGAAGCCATGTATGGGCACACACATCCGCATAGTAAGTGACCGATACAGCACCATGGGCGGCTCCCCTTCCCTCCCTCCCAACACAGGGAAATCAGGATGATGGAAGGAAGCTGCTTTTTACATGCATGAAATATTTTATTTATTTATTTATTTATTTATTTATTTTGAGACAGAGTCTCGCTCTGTTGCCTGGGCTAGAGTGCTGAGGCATCAGCCTAGCTCACAGCAACCTCAAACTCCTGGGCTCCAGCGATCTTCCTGCCTCAGCCTCCCAAGTAGCTGGGACTCCAGGCGTGCGCCACCATGCCCGGCTAATTTTTTCTATATATTTTTAGTTGGACAATTAAGTTCTTTCTATTTTTTTAGTAGAGACAAGGTCATGCTCTTGCTCAGGCTGGTTTCGAACTGCTGACATCGAGCTATCCTCCTGCCTCGGTCTCCCAGAGTGCTAGGATTACAGATGTGGGCCACCACACCTGGCCGCATGAAATAAATTTTAACTGCCCTAGTCAAAATCTCTTGCTCTTTTACAAATAGAAGACAACAGAACGAAATGAGAAAAGCCTATTTAGTATAATCCAGGGAAAAACAATAGTTTTCCTAGGCAGGTTCACAGATCTGAGCTCACCAGGCAAACGTGCTTCAGGCCAGTAAGGCCGGTGTTTTTAACCGCCCGGGATGATGAGTATTTGTGTGCAACCCTGATCCATCCTGCCCACAGGGCAAAGCCAGCTTTACGCCTTTTTCAAAACAAGAGTGAGGGGTGTAGAGTGAACCCTATACTTTTGAGTCTCCCAGAGTTTTCTATTAAAATGCAATATCTCCTGGAATGCCCTAAGATTTATAAGCAAATTCTTTAGTCATCTGTCAGTGCCCTGGTTGATAACAGGCTGAAGGTGTGATCTGAGAAAACCTGACCCAGGGTGGGTGCTGAGGGTGGGCTGGGGTGTGGGGTGGGCTGGGCACCTATCCAAGGAGAGGGCGGCTTGGGGCGTTTGCAGGTCTGGCTCAGTGTCCGTTAAATTCAGGTAAACTCCTGCAAATTAAACAAGCCACAGCGGAACAAATGAGTGAGGTGGACACGCTGTCTCTCTTTTCCTGGCCCTCAATTCGCTGCTCTCAGACAGGGACAGAAACGGGCCGGAAACCCTCCCACACTTTTAAAGCTGCCTTGGCTGGCCCTGGCTTTGGAGTCTTCAAAGTTATGTACTCACAAAAAATCCTTACATTCTGAAAAGCTATGTGTTCCTCTGCACCATTTTTAAGTTTGCATGTGAACTTTTCATTTTTATTTCAAATAGTTTTCAAAGGATAGAATTTCTGCCCTATCCTTGCACTGCATGTAGACTTTAAATATATTTGAGGCAACACCTTGGAGTTGCAGGTTTAGCTGATTCCGTTCGTGGAAATTCCTGCCGGAAGATCTAGCTGGAAGAGTCTGCCCTTGCTGGGAAACCAACTGCCAGCGTCAGCTTGCTTTTGGTCAGCAGCAGGCTGGCCTCATCTTTCAGCTCAGAATAAAGGTGTTCGTGTCCTCTGGGACTACCGTCTCATTTTTGAATTCCAATTTGAAAAGAAGGAAAGAAGGGAGAAGGAATGGCTTAGAGCTTCAGCTTTTCTTACCTTGGTCGTGGAAGTTTCTCAGGAGCAATGCATTGCGGTGCTTTGGTTTTCTTTCTTTCTTTCTTTTTACTCATGGTAATAGGCCATAGTGGTACCATGAGAAGTATTGATAGGTACCTTTGTCTTTAATGAAATCGAAGAAAGACATTTTGCAGAGGGGAAGGAAAATCATAGACCACACAAGCACATTCTCAGCCAACCAAAGCAGCTTTAGGAAAGATCAGGTGTGGAAGGTTGACAGGACGGATGGAGATGGTTGGTGCTTGCAATGCTCTGAGATGTTCACACGGAGTTAGAGGACCTAGAAAGGCACCCTTTAATCTGTCCTCTTCCAAGGCGTCCTACATTCCATGAATACACCTGCTCCACCCAACCCACGCTCCCCAAGACCCGCCCTCGCCGGCTCTCGAAGTGGCCTCTTCACCTGGTGAGGATCTGATTTGCAGGCAGCTAGCAATTTATCGAAGTGTTAGAGGTCTCCTTTCTGTCCTTTCCACTTTTAGTTCAAATTGCTTTCCTGTCCTCAAATTCAATCTTGGTGGCACTGAATCTTTGTTCTTGGTTCAGCCTTGCTGTTGTCTACAAACTCCTGAATGTACAGGTCCAAGCCAGTTAAAAATATATATATATATTTTAATTTCAGAGCTGGAACGTTTGATGCTCTTGAGCAACGAAATCAAGAATCCCAGTAAGTAAGCCCCGGACCTGAGCGTGTGACTGTGGACCTGTAGGGCATGTCCTTTAACGTAGGAGCCCTGGATGGGGCAGCGTGGGGGGGGGCGCTCCTCTCACCCCTTCCAGTGTACAGGGATTGTGACCTGTTGATTTAAAACAAATGGTAGCTTATATTGTAGCTTCCAGAAGCTTGCATTGCTTAGAGAGTGTTTTTAACGGGGCTTTGTAGCTGTTGCTAATCCAACTGAGATATCTACCCAAAAAAGTCTTCAGTGGTTGGATTGCGCTGAGTATAGAAAGAATTCAGGCACCTTCGATCATTGAACAAGTACAGAAAGCAAACAGGTACCACGAGGCTTTAAAATGCAGCAGCTGGTTAATTAGAGTTTTATTTTTCTATTTTCAGTTTCCATAATCTAATACTCCACGGTTTCACATTCTCAAAACACTCAGTGACTAGGACTGATATTTTCCTATGACAGGCAGCTGTTCCTTCTCACAAGGATCCATGCATTATTGACTTGCCATTTCTTTTCTTCCTGCAGCGATCCCTCTGAAATCGGAATTAGCTTATGAGATTTTTGATAAGGGCCAGGTCCGCTTCTGGCTGCAGGCAGAGCACCTATCTCCGGACGCCAGCTACCGATTCATCATTAACGACAGAGAAGTCTCCGACAGCGAGGTGAGCTCCCGTGTGCGCCATCTCCGGCTTTGAGGGAGCCGGCTTTGTTTCGTTTGGGTCAGTCACCTCAAGTCGACGTTCTGTGTTTGCTTCCATCCCTTTTCGAGCTGTAAAGATCAGGTGTGGAAGGTTGACAGGACGGATGGAGATGGTTGGTGCTTGCAATGCTCTGAGATGTGGCCGGGCTTAGCGAAGACAGCAGCCCAGTCTTTCACATCCAAGCCAGTTGGAATTAAAAATGACAGATTATGTTTAGGACTTGGAGCGCACTTCTGTGAAAAGGTTTGGGTTACATGGGAAGAAAATATCCTTGATGGATCAGTTTATCTATTCTTGATAACGGTTTTGGAGGCATATGTTTTCTGCCCTGTAATGAGGAACGCCTCCCTGCACCCCCCACCCCCTGACAGCTCCCCAGGGAAGACACAGGTTAGGGAATAAATTTCTGCAACTGACCTGACCGTTTTGGCTGCCCTCATGGAGTGGCCAGCTGATCTGGACCGAGAAGGCAGGGCAACTGTCAAAAGTGCATGTCCTGCGGCAGTGCAAACATGCTGGCCCTTGCTCTACTTTTAATTGTGTAGACAGTGAGTCCCACGATGGGAGCAGGTGTTCCTTTTCTGGCTGTGGAGTATTTTAGAAGACAGTGATTGCATTTAGATGCCTTTCCTCTTGTCTGACTATAGCACACCTGGGAGCCCAGTTACAGGACGGCCTATTTGAGTGGGGGGTTTTCTTTATTGTTCAGTGGTGGGATTGGAGGTCTCTTGAACCCCACCATCTTTACCCAGTGGGTAGCGGCCTCGATATGCTTGGCCATCCTACTAAGTCCTAAATGCTGCATTCATTTGTTCGCTGCACGAATGCTAAGCAAAACTGTGTGAGGCAGAAATCTCTCATGCCTTGGGGCAGCCCACCTCAACTCCCCGGTGCTGGACTTGCGTCCACCCCGGCCTTTGTGTCTGGCGGTGTTTACTGAAGCTTGGTTGGTTAGAGGGTGCCTGTCAGATGGAAATCCTGCACAAACAAGGACCATGTGATTTTCCTCAGCCAGCCGACCATTCCCCGTGAGAGTCAGGACATACTTTAACACTCCCATAAATGGGAAAGTTGGCTAAAAAGTAGAAAATACGTAGATTCTTTTAGGCTACCAAAGAAATAACAGTGTAAGTATTGTCTGCAGGAGACTAATGTCCTATCAAGGTAATGGGAGAGATATTCCTCGAGCAGAGATCATGCTACGAATCGAAATGGAATTCAGTGTCATCGCACTTTATTTGCAGAACGGTTCTTTCGGTTAACATTTCCTGCCCGCGGTATGGAGCTTGCTTTAAAAGATGGGAGTTGTTGCTCTCCAGCTAATCTTTTGGAACGTGACTGCACTATCTCACTTCTTTAATTAGCAATCCACAGGTGACTTTGGCATTTGGAGGTGGATGCTGTTTTGTGAAAGTCACATAAAAGCCTGTATTTATGGCACTTGTAAAGTCGTTGAGCTTCATCTTGCTGCATCATGGCCTTAGCAAGGAGCCTAATTATGTTTCTAAAACCCACCCAGACACGGTGGTGCGGTAGCTCAGAACACAGGACAGGCTACTACTGGCTTGTTGAGAATCAGACCTTCTAGTTTCTCAGAGCTAATTAGAGTAAGGTCCTACCCTTCTCCGCTTACAGGCGTTTGATGTGAGCACAACGTCACACAAAGAAGGACCTATGGTGCCTTTGTCTGATCAACTTGAAATTCACCCTTGATATTCAAAAGTAAATACTCATAGCTGTAAAGAAATCCAAGGGCCAAAGGGAGGGCGTGTTCACTGGGCTCTCATATTCACACCCCTGCTTGTGCACTGCAAGTCTGGAAGGAGGGGGACAAGGTGTACCGTGATTGACACGATCACTGGGGCGAGTGCCGAGGTGCAGGTCCCCTGCGTCCACTGCCTCAGGATGAGCCCTGCCTTTGGATGTGGCCTGGGCACCTCCAGGGCTCTGCCTAACGTCAGACCCTGCACTGTCCAAGGGAGGCCTGACACACAGTCCGTTGTCAGCACCCTCAGAGTGAGGACAGCTACAACGTGAAGCTCACTCCATTGCCACTGTCCATGTGGGCTTCCATCGTAGCTGGAGATGTGTTATGTTATTTTCTCCCTGTGGATTTTAACATTTCACACTGGAAGCCCCTTCTTGGGTACCGTGCAGTGTTTCTGCTGAGCCGGTCAGTACCTGGAGCTGTTTGCATTTCGGGGGCTCCCCATCCATGCATAGCTGGGGCTTTGTCACCAGTTGGAAGCTGGTACCCCAAGCTTGATCCTTGGTCCTCCCAGCGGTTCCATCAATACAATATCATTTTGTGTTTCTGTGTGTCACGATCCCTTAAGCTGTAATAGTCAGTGCAGCTGTGAAATGTGGGGAGAGAGAGAAAAACAGGAAGGGATCTTGGGAATTCACTGTGGAATTCTGTTTCCCCAATGGCTCCCAGGCGCACAGAATTAAATGTGACAAGGCCACCGGAGTTATCGAGATGGTCATGGATCGGTTTACTATCGAGAACGAGGGTACCTACACCGTGCAGATTCACGACGGGAAAGCCAAGAGCCAGTCTTCCCTGGTTCTCATCGGGGACGGTATGCTGGGCCAGGCATTTCCACGTGTCCGTGAAAAATAACTCAAATCCTTTGGACCGGGGAGAAGCAAGCATAGTTCACATCTTTTTTTTCTCTCTCTGTCTCTTAAATATTGAATTTAGCATTCAGGACCGTCCTAGATGAGGCTGAATTTCAAAGAAAAGAATTTCTCAGGAAACAAGGTGAGTAGCCAGCTGGCTGTCCCACCACTGGCCCAAAACGGAGTCGTGTGACTTGAGTACTTGTCTGCCGCAGACCGGACATGATGCCTAGTGGCTCTGCGGGCATCTTACGTGATCGGGGAATTAGGTTATTTTGTAGCTGTGGAAATCTGGGCACTTCTCTGCTTTGCTCTTTAATGTGTTCTGTCTGTGTTTTTTCCCTTGCTTCTACCTTTAAAAGCCCCAGATATAACAGTAATAATAATAATTGTACATTTCCTGCTGTTGTATTGTCACAGGAACCACCCCTGTGACCACGCTCTGCACTGACCGAAAACAAACAAACAAACAAAAAAAACAGGAGATGGGTCATGAGATATAAGATGAAGATATTAGTTTTTATTATTTTGAGTTATTTTTATTTCTAATAGTCAAAAATATTTTGCTCATTGCCACATGACGAACTTCTTTTTTTCTTTTTACCAATTTTGTAGAATGTATTTGTATGAAACAAATCAATACATACATTCTAAACCCACTTTGCATTTTCATGTTGAATGGGAAAATGGTGTTAGTAGCATATGACTAAACACCACACTTATTTCAAATAAAAATGGTTGATATTTTGGGAAAAACACTCACAAATCCACCTTTGCATTTGAATGCTCTATAAATAAGTGTTGACAGAATCTCTAGGTTTTTACCTAAAAAGCTATCTTTCACCTCATCTCTATTCTGTTATTTTAAAGGATTTATGTACTATCTTGTTGAATGTCCAATAAAGCATATGTCGTGAGAAAGAAAATATAATGAGTTTAATGTTCTTTTTAAAGAGTAATAGAGATGAGATGTCAGCAAGAAAGGGCGATCAGATAGTCTGTTCCTGCCAGGAAATGCAGATTCCAGAATTAACACGCGGTTTCACAGCCCCGGAAATCATCTCAGTTTCATAACACAAGAAATGTATTATTATATAAATATGTATAATACAGACCCACAGTGCCTATACACCCGCCCCTACATATATGTACATATAATATCTATATCATGTATTTGTTTGTTTATTTTACATCTTTTTTCCTTTCTTAAAACTTAGTTTTTCCCTTTTTCCCTCACAGGCCCCCATTTTGCCGAGTATTTGCACTGGGAAGTCACAGAGGAGTGTGCAGTGAGACTTGTCTGCAAGGTGAGAAGCTCAGTCCTGCCTCGCAGGGGAGCGGCTGGGTGAGACCGAGCCGAGGGCGGAACCGTTAGGTGCGGAGGGGCCGAGCGACTGCTGGGTCTCCTGGACTGTGTAGTTTACGGTGAGAGGAACCTCCATCATAAACAGAGGAAAATCTGTTAAAAATGTCTCCTAAGCCCAGGTGGAGCATCAGAGAGGGTTAGCTCTCAGGAGATGAGAATCAGGCTGTGCCACGTACTATCTAGGAGTGTCCTGTGGTCTTTCCTGGATATTTATTTATATATGCTTTAGGTGCCCTTATTTTATTTTATTTTATTTTATTTTATTTTATTTTATTTTAGAGACAGAGTCTCACTCTGTTGCCAGGGCTAGAGTACCGTGGCGTCAACCTCGCTCACAGCAACCTCAAACTCCTGGGCTCAAGCGATCCTCTTGCCTCAGCCTCCCGAGTAGCTGGGACTACAGGCATGCGCCACCATGCCCGGCTAATTTTTTCTATTTTTAATTGTTTGGCTAGTTTCTTTCTATTTATGGTAGAGATGGGGTCTCACTCTTGCTCAGGCTGGTCTCAAACTCCCGAGATCAAGCAATCCTCCTGCCTCGGCCTCCCAGAGTGCTAGGATTACAGGCTTGAGCCACTGTGCCTGGCTTAGGTGCCTATATTTTAAAGAGAGGTGGAGAGAAGTTGAGGGAGTTCAGAAAAGAGACACATGAGTTATTTAAGGGAATAAGAACGACCACCTGCAAGACAAACTCATTAGCTGAGGATATTTGTTTTGGAAAACAGCAGGTGAAGGCCAGTGGGGAGGCTTTTATTTAGCACACGGTGACCGACAACGTTTTAGCCTTTGCAGAAGAGAATAGAGGAGGGAGTGGGGTCAGGAGATGGCAGGAGATTGGATCGGCACAGAAGATGGACACAACTTTGAACGCTGGATGGCAGAGCTCCTCTGCTGGAGTCTCGTGGTGGCTTCGGTCCATTCTAGGAGTTTTCAAGGAGCGGTTCTGACTTTGGAAGGAGGATCCTGCTTTCGGCGCCAATGGGACACGCCCCTGCATCTGTGCCCCACGCACTTATGGAGTGACTTCTCTGTGCCCAGCAAGCTGCTGGGCTGCAGGGGACTAGTGTCAGCAAAATAGACAAAATCCTGCATTATGAAGATTACATTCTGGTGTTGTCAATAATCGAGACAATTCCCACAGAGCACCTGGAAATTCTAGAAGATGTTGCACCACTCCACTAGCAGAACTTATCACGCTATGTGATTGCTTGTGATTTTTTAGTCATTGAGGTCATTTTTGTTTTTTCTTTGAGACAGAATCTCACTCTGTTGCCTGGGCTAGAGAGCTGTGGCGTCAGCCTAGCTCACAGCAACCTCAAACTCCTGGGCTCAAGCAAATCCTCTTGCCTCAGCCTCCCGAGTAGCTGGGATTACAGGCATGCACCACCATGCCCGGCTAATTTTTTCTATATATTTTTAGTTGGCCAATTAATTTCTTTCTATTTATAGTAGAGACGGGGTCTCGCTCTTGCTCAGGCTGGTTTCGAACTCCTGACCTCGAGCCAGCCTTGGCCTCCCAGAATGCTAGGATTACAGGCGTGGGCCACCATACCCAGCCTGAAGTCACTTTTGTTGCATCCATATGGGATGCAGATGCAGAATTATCTTCTCCTGTAATCCAGTGCCACCCCACGCTCCATTATACGGAATCAGAATTCCTCCTCCTCCCTAAGACACGTACCTCAGAGCGTGCCAACTGTAATGCTCGCCCATCCCGGGAATTCTGAAAAGCTTTGTGTCTAATGCAAGCTACTGCCAGTGACTGGACTGTGAGGAATTTCAGTGCAGGGAGGTCCTCATCCCCAGGGGGCTGTTCTGGGGACGGTTTCACCTCCTCTGTGTCCATGCATCTGAAATGTCATATTGCCAAAAAATCAGCCGCTAAATAGCTTTAGAGATCTCTAAGGGTATTCTGTATTATTTGCAAATCCTAAAATACATTGCTTATGCCTTGTCTTTATTAGCGACATTTCATGTAAACGAAAAGATCTTTACGCCTCTAATTTCATAGGCTGAGAATCGGCGGTCCTTCCCTGTGCACCTGCCAGGGTTTAATCATTTTAGATGCTGGGATTTAGAAATGCATTCGCCCTTACTGGAAGTGACAGCTTTTCCATGAGCCTCTGTCTGACACATAATAAAAATTGATTCTTTTTTTTTAGGTCTGTGATTTAAAATCCGAATCGACTTTTTTTTTTTTTTTCCTTACGAGTCAGGGGGATTCACATACTAAACTTTAGATTTCTGTCTCACAGGTTGCAAATACCAAGAGAGAAACAGTTTTCAAATGGCTCAAGGACGATGTTCTCTACGAAACAGACAAAGTGCCTGACTTGGAGAAAGGGGTCTGTGAGCTCCTTATACCAAAGGTATCACATATGGAATAAAACAAAGCAGAGTCCAAGCAAAAAAAAAAAAAATAGTGCTTTCAAATAACTTGTAAATAAACTTTGCATTCTTCCAATTTGCATCCTGAATTTCCAGGATTTGCAAAGACATTGCATTAGCATCTATCATTATGTTGGGGTATTGATTTTATGTCAATGTGGGATGATTTGTTTTGTCTGTAGCTGTCAAAGAAGGACCATGGTGAATACAAGGCCACCTTGAAGGATGAGAGAGGCCAGGACGCTTCTGTCCTCGAAATTGCTGGCAAAGGTAACAAACAGGACATCTTGGAGCTTCTGAAGAGAAATTCATTTTGCTGATGGGATAGGACACTTTTGTCCATGTCCTTAGTCATATAGCACTTTGTTTCTTTAGTTGTAACACTGTAGAGGAAACTGTATTTGTTCTTTAGTTGCATTCAAAGCTTTCCAATGTTTCAGAAAAATGTATGTATGATATTCTTTTGGGCCAATGCGAAATGCCATTTCAGCCCATTATCCAAAGCCAAGTTTTATCCCATTACTAATGCAGCTAAAAATGATTGACACACTGTTGCAGTGATTCAATTAAATGTATAGTTGGATTTATGTTGAGTGAAATGTTCTTGTTCCTTGTTTAAAGAGTGAATAGGTGAGTAGGATTTATTGCACACATCAGCCTTTTATGGATAAATATTGCTGTTTTAACATGATCTTTCAAACGAACATCACAATTTCCTGTATCAATTTAATTAAACGCGGAAAATGCTGCTTTCTGTTAAAATTATACACCCTAATGGCAACTTTCTCCCTTCTCCTTTTTTAGTGTATGAGGATATCATTTTGGCAATGAGTAGAGTCTGCGGTAAGTAAATGCCTTCTGATTTTCAAGTCACTTTGGGTGCTAGCGTCACTATTTCCTGAGATGGGCGTCACCACTGCAGAGGAACCACAGTGTGCGTCCCGTGCCAGGCCCTGGATTACAAGGCAGGACGGTTACTGGCTGCCTGGTGACACTTTTTCTTAACTCACTTTCCAGCATCATGGTTAGAGTCTGTGGTTTGCTTTAAGAAGCCCCATGTGGGCTGGGCACCGTGGCTCACACCTGTAATCCTGGCGCTCTGTAATCCTGGAGTTGGAAACCAGCCTGAGAAAGAGTGAGACCCCGTCTTTACTAAAAATAGAAAGAAATTAATCGGACAACTAAAAAGATATAGAAAAAAAATTAGCCGGGCATGGTGGCGCATGCCTGTAGTCCCAGCTACTCGGGAGGCTGAGACAGGAGGATCACTTGTGCCCAGGAGTCTGAGGTTGCTGTGAGCGAGGCTGACGCCACAGCACTCTAGCCTGGGCAACAGAGTGAGACTCTGTCTCAAAAAAAAAAAAAAAAAAGCCCCGTGTGGACTCCTGTCCACTTTGCCTTAGGTTAACTGGGATGACTACTTTGGGCACCGTTGCCGTTGGCGTGGATAGCAATGGTAAATCATTCAGCCTCTCACTTTGCGTCTTACCTGTTAAACCGTGTTAGCTTTGCAAACAGATTCTCCCTCCACAATGGGCCTTCTGTGGAAACTATGAGAACGAAGATATCAGCTATTAATTTGATAACGATAGCTTATAGTTGCATAGTGCTTTGGTACTAACCATTATACAATTATAATCACTGTGGGCTCTCGAGAGGTCACCTGATTTATACCTTCAGAGCATGTAGTGAAATCCCGGCCAGTCAGGTGGTTTAACTGGGTATGCAGCCAGGAGAGTTGGACCCTGACCAGAAGAAAACTCATCTCTTCGTCCCAAGCTACCCTCTTGTCTCAATAGTTTCTCTGGCATTCTTTTCTTTTTTTGAGGTAGTCTCACTCTGTTGCCCAGGCTAGAGTGCTGCGGTATCAGTATAGCTCACAGCAACCCCAAGCTCCTGGGCTCAAATGATCCTCCTGCCTCAGCCTCCCGAGTAGCTGGGACTACAGGCATGGGCCACCATGCCCAGCTAACGTTTTCTATATATTTTAGTTGGCCAATTAATTTCTTTCTATTTTTAGTAGAGATAGGATCTCACTCATGCTCAGGCTGGTTTTGAACTCCTGACCTTGAGCGATCTGCCCGCCTCGGCCTCCCAGAGTGCTAGGATTACAGGCGTGAGTCACTGCACCCGGCCTCTCTGGCATTCTTGTGAAAACCATTTTATGCTGACTTTTTATTGCTTTCACAGAACATCTCTATAAAGTGAACTTTATTTCTTTCTGCTTTTTGCTTCATCGAAATGATACATTTCGTATGAGTTTTACTCTCGTTGATCATTAATGGACCAAATACCACTTCACAGACAAGCTGGCCACTGTAGGAAACTAAATGAAGCCCTTTAAAAGTGACTTCACTCCTTTTTAGAAAAATATTTATTTATTTTTAATTGACAGAAAAATAATTGGGTATGTTTTATGAGGTGCAATGTGGTGTTTTGATCCATTGTAGAAAGATTCCATCGAGCTAAGTAACGTATCCATCACCTCACATACTCATCATTTATTTTTTTATGGTGAGAACTTTAAAAATCTATTCTTTTAGCAATTTTGAAACATGCAATACATTAGTGTTGACCGTGGTCACCACGCAGTGCAGTAGACCTAACACCGATTCCTCCAGTGAAACGGGGCTCACTTTGACCAACATCTCCCCTCCCCCACATCCCTCCCTCTCCCCGAGCCCTGGCACCCACCCTGCTACTCTCTGTCTCTGTGAGTTTGACTTTCGTAGATCCTGCATATAAGTGAGATCATGCACAGTTTGTCCCGGTTCAGCTGTCAGCCCGAAAGGAAGACGCTGAGGCAAGATTAACATGAGAGCGTTTATTCGGGCCAAGCTGGTGGGTTGCAAGCTGGGAGCAGAGACTCAGGTTGCTGAGTCCACACTCCTGTTAGCAGACGCTGCAAGTGGATTTGTAACGGCCAAAGGAGGAGGGCAGGGAGTATCAGGAACTCTCACTGACTTACAGAATTAACATTGATTAGTTATTGGCTATGCATCACTGAGCTATAGTGTGTGGCATCGTCAGGTTAATTGATAGCTATTGGTGGCAAAAGGAAGCAGCTTCAAGAGCTGAATGTGTCACTCTAGGGAGGCAGTGGGGTGTGATTGGGGTCTAGTTTTAATGTCTCTCTGGGCTGATCATTGGAAAGGCCTCACATTCCTCAAATGAAAGTTCTTTCCTTTCCTCATTTCCTCCTCTTGATCAAAAATCTTCCTTCTTGAAAGCATCAATGATCAAAATGTGAGAGTCGGGGGTCAGTGGGTAAAAAATGCTCACTTCTGGGTTGCCTGTCAGAGTCCTTCAGCTATAGCTGCTGCTTATAGAATCTTCTTTGGTTATCAGAGGATCATAAATTTAGTTTCTCAGAAGTAGAACAATGTAGGAGAGATAGAAGGCAGATAAGGATTATCACTAAAAGGAGAATTTATATATTTATATACCAGTTTTATGTACCTCCATTAACTGCATTTAACAAAATGCACTGAGAACTCAACATTCATTTGTTTTTTGTTTGTTTTTGGAGAGAAAGTCTCACTCTGTTGCCTGGGCTAGAGTGCCATCAGCCTAGCTCACAGCAACCTCAAACTCCTGGGCTCAAGCAACCCTCCTGTCTCAGCCTCCCGAGTAGCTGGGACTACAGGCATGCGCCACCATGCCCGGCTCATTTTTTCTATATATTTTGGTTGGCCAATTAATTTCTTTCTATTTTTAGTAGAGACTGGGTCTCACTCTTACTCAGGCTGGTCTCCAACTCCTGAGCTCAAAGGATCCACCCACCTCGGCCTCCCAGAGTGCTAGGATTATAGGTGTGAGCCACCATGCCCAGCCCCTGTTTATTTGATTTATTTATTTTTTATGGTGGCAAATGTACACAACATAAGCTCTACTCTCTTAACCATTTTCAAGTGTGCAATTCAGAAAAATTGAATATATTCACCTTGTTGTGCAAGCGTCTCCACCATCTATCTCCAGAACTCTTTTCATCTTAAACCGAAACTCTATATCCATTAAACACTCCCTATCGCCCCTCCCTGTAGCCTCTGGCAACCTCGTTTTATTTTCTGTCCTTGTGAATTCCATTACTCTAGGTGCCTCATTGAAGTGGAAGTATGTAGTATTTGTCCTTTTGTGCCTGGCCTATTCCACGTAGCATGATGTCCTCAAGGTTCATCCATTGTGTAGCATGTGCTAGGATTTCCTTCCGTGTCAAGGCTGAGTAACAGTCAGGCAAATGGCACATTTTATTCATGCATTCGTCTGAGGAAGGACATGTGGGTTGCTTCCACGGTTTAGCTATCCCGAATTCTGCTGCTATGAATTTGGCTATACAGATATCTCTTTAAGATCTTGGTTTCAGTTCTTTTGGATACATACCCAGAAGTATTAATAGAATTGCTGAATCACATGGTAATTTTATACGGTAATTCTATTTTTAAAGTTTTTAGGGAACTGCCGTACTGTTTCCTACGACAGCTGCACCATTTTGCATTCCTACTGACAGAGCACGAAGTTTCCAGTTTCCCGGGTCCTTGATAACACTTGTCGTCTTCTGTATTTTGATGGTAGCCAACCTAAAGGGCATGAGGTGGTATCTCATTTGTGTAGTCTTGATTTGTGTTTCTCTAATGATTAGGGATGTTGAGCATCTTTTCACATGCCATTGACCATTGTCCATCTTCTTTGGAGAAATTTCTCTCCATGTCCTTTGCCCCATTTGGAATCAGGTTACTTTTTGATTGTTGTGTTTTAGTCGTCCTCTTTATATCCTGGATATTAATCCCCTATGAGATATATGATTTTCAAATACTTTCCCCCATTCTCTGGGTTGCCTTTATGTTTGCAGAGTCTTAGAAGAGCTTACGTAGAATATTTATGTGAAAATTTGTGTCACAGGGAAGTTGCACAGTTGATCCCAGTTCATTCAGTTGCCTAGTAAGCAGAATAGACTTATTAACCTAAATCTACCGCTAGGTCAGGAGTCTGGCATTGCTTCTGAAATCCTGCAGAATGGTCTCTTCACTACGGGATATTTATCATTTCTAAGACTTTACCCACACAATTCTTTAACATTGGTAATCTTGCAATTTTGTGAAAATATCTGAAGTGTTCTATGAAGGAGACCAAGCTTAAGGAATACACCTTCATACTTAACATTTATAGAATTCTAAAAGTATTTAATCAAATAAGTTAAAAAATCAGCTGGCAAAACAGAAACACAAATGGCAGAATTCATTTTTGGCATGGTATATTGCATGGATTAAATATCAACCTGGTTAAATTTTGTATAATAAAAAGATAAGCACTGCTTAAGCCTTCAGAAGTCTATCTTAATAAAGATGCAGTTGATGTAAGTCCAGAAAGTAGGAACACAACTCACAAGTCAACGTTTGGCCAGTCAGTATAATTCCTGCAGCTCAGGCCTGAAGCTGGGAGTCCACGCCTGTCTGTCCTCTCCGCCTTTTGCTCAGCTTCCATGGAGGGGGTTTCTTTTTATTTACTTTTTAGGGGAAGTTCTTTCTTACTCTATGTGCATTTAAGAATAAATGAAAACAAAGAACATCACCATCGTGGCCATTTTTATCTCAATTTCTATTCCTTTACATAATAGGAGTCATAAATAGTTTACTGTTCCCCCCCCATTTTATAATAATTTTCTTTGTTTTATATAGATTTATATTTCTTTTTTCCAATCATTGCATAATATTTCATGGAATCACACAGTACCATGGCTTAAACTCTTCTTTATTGCAATATTAACATTTTTCTTCAGTATAAATAACTGTACAATGCACATATGTGGGCAAGGAGAGGCTTTTTCAATATTTAGGAATATTTCATTTGGGTGAATTCCTAGAAGTGCAATCACTATGTAGAACACTATGAATAGTTTTAATATTCACAATATAAATTACAGGTTGCTTACCAAAATTAAGAAATGCTATTCCAAAAGCCTCTTTGCCATAACATCCTCACCAACTGTTTGCAATCATGTTACATTCCTTTATCTTTGCTATTATATAGTATAATTTTCCAGGTAAGGAAACACGGTAAGTTCACGTAAATTCTCTAAGGTGGCGTATCTAATAACAATCTCTACTTCAAACTCAGAGCTGTTGCTTCCTAATCTGCTCCTTTTCTGACTCTCACCCTGGCCCATCTACCTAGTCAAATCAGTCTAAATTTGTACTCCAAACACACTACGTGTGTTCTCATTTTTAAATTTTTTCTTATTGCCTATGGTTTCTGCCCTCTTTCCTCAGATCCAATTTTCACTTGTCTTGAATGACCAGCCCTGTTTCTACCATCTCCTTGCCTCCTACCTAGAACATTTCTGCTAATTCCGTTTTGCTGATTCTCTTCGATGCTGGAGACCTGGAGCAATTCATGTAGCATTTGCATTGTTACATTGTTACTTATACTACTTTGTCTCCTCTTAAGGCAAACTGATAATGGGCAGATATTGGTTTCTTTCTTTCTTTTTTTCTTTTTAAACAATTATGTGTCTCTCACAGTATTCTGCAAAGAGCTTTTCTAATAATTCTGCCATGGCAAGTGGCTGTTTAATAAATGGACACGGCAGGGGAAGCAAACACAAGGCTTTGTGGCCGGCTGACTTTAACACCCACGGGAGACCACGTTTGCAGACAGGTGCTCCCTGCTGGCCGGTGTAGCGCCTGCCCCGAGAACACAGCACAGGTTGCTTTTCTCAGGTCTGAGTGTTTTGTCTTCTGCAGGAATGTCTGCTTCTCCACTGAAGGTGCTCTGCACCCCGGAAGGAATAAGACTCCAGTGTTTTATGAAGTACTTCACAGAGGAAATGAAGGTGAATTGGTATCACAAGTAAGTGTGTGCGCAGTTGGCAGTGGCTGCACCCTGGACGGGGCAGTCCAGGGCTGGGACACAACGGGGCACTACCACTCCCTCAAAATGATACAATTGTGAGCAATCGTGACCCCCTTTGGCTCAGGGCAGGGAGCCATCCTGGCAGTGGAGAGGGCTTGGAAGAAAGAGGAAGAGAAAGAAATGCCTGAAGGTGTTAGAGGCAAGTTTCTCCAGTGTCCTGAGCTTACCAAAGGTGGTTCTACTCATAACCCACGTTTTACTTGCTGCAGGCAGACAGTCAAGGCAGAAATGATGCTTCACAAGCAGGCTCTGCCTTTTCTGTCTGTCGGTTCCCTGATGGACTTGATTAAAAGTAAACAGACCACAACAAGCCAGTCATTAAAAGTAATGATTCTTGGCCGGGCGAGGTGGCTCACGCCTGTAATCCTAGCACTCTGGGAGGCAGAGGTGGGAGGATCACTCAAGGTCAGGAGTTCAAAACCAGCCTGAGCAAGAGTGAGACCCCATCTCTACTAAAAAAATAGAAAGAAATTAATTGGCTGACTAGTTTGCTGAAACTCATTTGGTGGTGGCAGTGCGTCCTAACCTGCGGGCGGCCATTTGGAGAGGCCCTTACTGAAGGGTGTGATGTTTGAATGCTGCGATGCAGCAGCACTGAGGTGTCTCATCACAGACGCTGCTTCCCACCCTGGTGGGGGAGGGGCTGCTATATGTGGGGTGGGGCGTAAGGGACTGAGGATTGATGGGAGTGGGTGGATTTTATCTCTCTGCCTGTTCCTTTTGGAAAATTTCTTAGCATTGGCCAACTAAAATATATATATAGAAACAATTAGCCGGGCATGGTGGTGCGTGCCTGTAGTCCCAGCTACTCGGGAGGCTGAGGCAGGAGGATTGCTTGAGTCCAGGAGTCTGAGGTTGCTGTGAGCGAGGCTGACGCCACAGCACTCTAGCCTGGGCAACAGAGTCAGACTCTGTCTCAAACAAACAAACAAACAAACAAACCCAGACAAATTAAAACAAAAAAAATTTTTTAAAGTAATGATTCTTATTTCTTCTTTTTCATCTAAAAGTACATAACTTTTAGTCCTATTTGACTATTAAACAATATTGAACTCTATTTTACACTACACATTCTATTATGCAGTTATATTCTATAACTAAACTATAATATCTGGGTATATCTCACTATTTGGCTATTAAATGAGCTTTTATTAGATATCAATTGGAGACAGAGTAATTTGTTGAAATATAATTTGGCTTGTTGACAAGCGACCCACTTCACGAAATCTGTGAAGCCAGGGACTCGGTAGCTGGAGGCTCGCCCTGTGGACGCTGGAGTTTTTTGCTTTAATGGGTGACATGGAATCGATAGAGCACAGCGAGAGAGTAGTGTGAAATGCGAGCATAAGCAAAGGCGATCGTTCTTTAGTTAAAATGCCGAGACATCTATCAAGGAATGTAGAAAATGCCACTTTCTACGGGAAGGGTTGGAAACATATTCAGTGTGAGTTAGGAGCCAGCAGAGAGGGACTCAGCAAAAACACTTTTCGGAAAAAGGACGCTGTTCTCTTGCTCAAAGGTGAAATTCATCTATCATCTGGACAGGGCGGGAGACCTCGGATTGTGGAGGTATTGACCACTTAAGCGTCGGATATATCTCAGAAACTACAGAAAATTTCGTAGTGTCTTTATAGAAGGAAGAACATAGCAAGCTTCGACCGCAGGATGTGTATTTTAATCTAACTTGGGAGACGGCACGCGCACAGGTCTGGTGGGGCAAACGCTCCCCTGACATCGCAATGCACCCTTGGGCTGCCGGGGGAGAGGAGCCTGTGGTGTCTCATACACCGCCCTGGGCACCTCTGCCCTCACCGAGTCCCCAAGGCTGGATGGGGGCTGGGGAGCTGGTGGGACCCTCCCCAGGGGGTTCCTGGAAAGCTCCCCAGGGCGAGAGGCTCTCTCAGAAGGCACAGGCTGTCTCCAGCCCCCACCTGCGTTCCTGCTGTTCCCTGTTAGGAAAGCAGTTGCAAAGGTGGTTCGATCCTATACATCCTCCAGCTGGGCCATGTTGAGGGCTCTTCTTGCAGGAGGTCAGAATTACTGAATCCCGCCTTCTCCATTTGGGAATTTCCGCTTTTATCCACTGTTCCCCTCACACGGGGGGGGGGGTGGAGGGGAGGCAGAGTCTAGATGGCACTCAGATATTTGGAACTGTAAAACATATTATTGTTTTAGCCTGAGCAAGAACGGGACCCCATCTCTACTAAAAATAGAAAAAATTAGCCGGGCATGGTGGCTAACACTTGTAGTCCCAGCTACTTGGGAGGCTGAGGCAGGAGGATTGCTTGAGCCTGGGAGTTGGAGGTTGCTATGAACTAGGCTGATGTCATGGCACTTGAGCCTGGGGCAACACAGTGAGACTTTGTCTCAAAAAAACCCACAAAAAACCCACATATTATTTTTAAGGCTGAATGATATTTCTCTACATGCATGGACTGCTTCTTGTTTATCCACTCATCTGCCAGGGCAGACTTGGGCGGCTCCCTTCTCTCGGCAGTCGCGAACAGTGCTGCTAAAACTGTGGGTGTGTAAATATCTCTTTAAGACCCTGCCTCTGGTTCCTTCGGGTATATTCCCAGAAGTGCAATTGGTAGATCATACAGTAGTTCTATTTTCAATTTTTTGAGGAATTCCCATACTGTAGAGAGTATTTCAAAGTGCCACGTATATAATAAGTAATAGTATATGTTTAAAAATTAAGTATCATTTAATTTTGGGAGGTTTTCAGATATGAGTTACTGATATAGTCAGTCCATTTGTTAATCGACAGAAAACTCTGTTTTTATTTATTTATTTATTTTAGACAGAGTCTCACTCTGTTGCCTGGGCTAGAGTGCCGTGGTGTCAGCCTAGCTCACAGCAACCTCAGACTCCTGGGCTCAGGCAATCCTCCTGCCTCAGCCTCCCGAGTAGCTGGGACTATAGGCATGCACCACCATGCTCGGCTAATTTTTTCTATATATTTTTAGTTGGCTAATTAATTTCTTTCTATTTTTTTTTAGTAGAGATAGGGTATCGCTCTTGTGCTCAGGCTGGTTTTGAACTCCTAACCTTGAGCGATCCTCCCGCCTCGGCCTCCCAGAGTGCTAGGATTATAGGCGTGAGCCACCGCACCCAGACAAAAGCTCTGTTTTGGTGTTAGTATCAGCCAGTTAGAAAAGGCTTCCCGCCCAGACAGGCATGACATTGCCCTGTGGGTACCGTGTGGGTAATGCAGAGACCCTAAATCGAGTGCGTCCTGTTACTTTTTCCAAAGAGATGCCAAGATTCCGTCCAGCGAGCACATGCGGATAGGAGGCAGCGAGGAGATGGCCTGGCTGCAGATCTGCGAGCCCACGGAGAAGGACAAGGGGAAATACACCTTTGAGATTTTTGACGGCAAAAGCAATCACCAGCGCTCGCTGGACCTGTCTGGGCAAGGTAGAGTCACTCTTTGGCATCTGATAACTCTGGATTTACAGAGACATTTGGGTGCTGACAGGGATGGTGTATATTAGAATACAATCTGATTCTGTGGTTTGCATTCAGAGAAAATAATTTCTGAGTAATTAGTGTATTTAGTTAGGTGTTTATCAGTTTTCATTAACTACATTTGCTTGTAGGATATTGCAGTGAATCAACAAAAGCTGAACATTGCAGCGGTTAGTAACATATGAACTATTTCCTTGCAGCTTTTGATGAAGCATTTGCAGAATTCCAGCAACTCAAGTAAGATTTTCATATTATCATATCATGCAAGGGTCCAGTTCGCCCCAAGCCATTTTGGCCGCATGTGGGAATATGTATAGATGCCTCGGTGACCCAGAGTCTGCTGTTTCTGGGATAAAGATGGCAATTTAATTATTTTGACATGTAGAAGGTCAGGCATTCTCCAAAACCAGAAATGCATTTGTAAATTAACTCTCTGGAGTCATAATAACCCTGGATTATTTTAAACGGCTAAAATGAAGAATTCCTAAAATCATCATAATCTTGGCAACACATCCTACAGAGCAACCTTTTAAAGAATAATTTGGGATTTTCAAATGTGTGCCTGAGTTTTAGCATATCCAAGCCTGAAAACAGTCTCTGGCCCATGCAGGGTTAATCAACAAATATTTGTTCATCAGGTGAAGAGATAAGTTGGATAAATCAGAAACGGACAATTTCAAAAGTAGCTAGAAGTTTCCAGTGCAATCTGGTGAATTTGGTGGAAAAAAGATTAAATCTCTTCCACCTATGAGTTTGGATGTGAAACCTCTCTGTGGGTTTTGACATCTGGGTATCAGGATGTTTTCCCCCTCATCACGGGCAGCCTACGGGAAACTATACAGATGTAGGTCCTCAGATCCTGCGCTCCGAACTCGCTCTTCTAGGAGAAAGCCACCACGCCCTTCTCTCTTCTGCCCCCACCACTAGCGAATGCGAGAGTGTGTCGTGCGTTTTTGTCCGAAGCTCTTTCCTAATTCTCATTTTATTCTCTCCTTTCCGCCCCCTTTAATCTTTAGGGCTGCTGCTTTTGCAGAGAAGAGTAAGTGCACGTGAGACTGTAATAAGAATGATGCATTGTCGGGCACGGGGCATAAGGGCCCAGATTTTGGGGCCTTGATCTTGTGTGTTAAGTACTCACCCGCAACCTTCCCGCCTCACTGGGCGGCACCTCCAACACTGGCGTCCTGCCCGAGTGGGCACGTCTCAGACTGCTGCTCTGGCCACCCCCAGCTTCAGCCCCGCCACCCTTTGCCCCTGGGGGCTCAGGACCCTCCCCCGTCTGCTTGGCCAGGGCACAGGCAGCCCTTCCCGCCCTCGGTCCCTGGCCAATCCTTCCCGCTCAGAGACTGGCTCTCGTCCCATTCTTCCCACAGACTCTCACAACCTGCCGTGCGTGGGATCAATGATTTCCTCACTGTGGGTTACCCTCAGTGTAACATGTGACCTTCCCCTCGGGCCTCTCCCAGGAGAGCGCGAGCTCCTCCCCGCCGTTCCCGGTGCCCAAGGCGCCTGCTCAGGACCTTCAGGGCTGTGTGTCTTAACCGAGTTGCTTCCTTGTTGCAGATCGCGGCAGGGTGGTTGGCGGTTTGCCTGACGTGGTGACCATCATGGAAGGAAAGGTAGGAGCTCACAGCAGAGCTAGGACAAGCGAGGGGTTAAGCACTGCACAGTGCAGCCCTGCTCTTGCGCACAGAGACGGGGCACCTGGGGAGGGGTTCTGAGTGCAGTGTGTGCTCACCCCACCCACAGGGGACTCGGGCTTCCCAACTGCCTTCCCTTATCTGCCTGCCTCTGATGAACTCCGTGTCAAGGGACAGAGCACCCTAACATGCAGGATCCACAGGCAGTGTCTTTGGGACCACGTGTGGCCCAGGCACCTCCCGGGTGGGGGGTCCTCAGTGTCCCTTTGTTCAGAGGAGCTGCCGCACCGGGAGCAGGTGCCACAGCCCATCCCCCGCCTACCTGTGCGAGGTGCAATCCACCGGCTTCCAACCTGAAATGGGAAGCTTTTATAAAATGACAGAAAAAAAATCCCTGTCCCAGTTCCCAAGGCCATTTTGCAGCACGTAATGGCAACCACTTGTTGGAGTTTTAATGTGTCGCCTGCCAGTAGGATCATTGATATCTATTCAGTACTTCTCCGTTCGCTTCAGTGATTCCAACTCAACGTCATGGGGACGTAGATACCAGGAAGAATCTTATTAGGCCAAAATGCAAACATCTATAGACCTCTCTTTTAGTGGCTAAGGAAAGCCCATGAGCTTCTGAGGCTGAACAAGCATGGTCTCGTCATCATAAAGACATAACTGAGAAATTAGCAGTCGAGTTACTGTATCACATGCTGTGAATGTGTTTTAACCACAGGTCCAGGTTGCATTTGCTGGTTATGAGACAATATCCTCTCTGGGTTTGCCAGAGGAGCTGGAGAAAGGGACCCACATGTCTAAATATTGAGGGAATTTAGAAATAAGCTGAAGTTTTCTACTGTAAACTGCAGACTTCATTACCTTCCAATTCTTTTTTGTTTTTTTTAGACAGAGTCTCACTCTGTTGCCCGGGTTAGAGTGCCATGGCGTGAGCCTCGCTCACAGCAACCTCAAACTCCTGGGCTCAAGTGATCCTCCTGCCTCGGCCTCCCGAGTAGCTGGGACTACAGGCATGCGCCACCATGCCCAGCTAATTTTTTCTATATATTCTTAGTTGTCCAGCTAATTTCTTTCTATTTTTAGTAGAGACGGGGTCTTGCTCTTGCTCAGGCTGGCCTCGAACTCCTGAGCTAGAATGATCCTCCCGCCTCGGCCTCCCAGAGTGCTGGGGTGACAGGTGTAAGCCACTGCATCTGGCCTGCCTTCCAATTCTTTAATCAATTGAGGCTTACAACTGAGAATAAACAGGACAGATTATCACCGATTTTTCTTGTGAGTGCCCCCACAGTGACCTGTTCACACCTGGTGGGCCCGTCCTGTGCTGTTCAGGGCGGAAGGCTCACCGACAGAGTGGGTGACAGACGTGTCACCACGTGTGGCTAAGGCACGCCGTCCAGGGAGGTCACACCGTTTCTCCTTTTCTGACTCTTCCTTCTCTGCCCACCTTTCTCCCTGAAGACCTTGAACCTGACCTGCACGGTGTTCGGAAGCCCTGACCCAGAGGTGGTCTGGTTCAAGAACGACCAGGACATTCTGCTGAGCGACCATTTCTCGGTGAAGGTGGAGCAGGCCAAGTTTGTCAGCATGACCATCAAGGGCGTGACCTCCGAAGACTCTGGCAAGTACAGCATGAGCGTTAAGAACAAGTACGGCGGCGAGAAGATTGATGTCACCGTCAGCGTGTACAAGCACGGGGAGAAGATCCCCGAGGTGGCCCTGCCCCAGCAGGCAAAACCCAAGCTCATCCCGGCCTCCGCCTCCTCTCCAGCTGAATAAAAGTATTTCTTTCCCTAGCCTGGAGATAGAAATTTTAAAAGTCCCAGGAATGCTGTGTGCTTGTTCCCGATGTGTGGCCCTGACCAGCGTGACCTCGTGTGCGGGCAGGTGGTTGCTTAGATATTACGCTTTTAAATTTTTGCATTTGGTGATTGTTATTTTATGTCTGCTTACGGGGAAAAGACCATATTTTGCACAAGACTAAACGACTTTCGTGCATAGGAGGGTGAACGGCAGATACTTGGAGGCGAGCGGTTTGCAGACGGTGCCAACGTTTCCGTGGGCCCAGGTGTGTGTAGCGTGTGGCGGTCTGCAGAAGTTGCGGTTCTGCTGCGATTGAGCTCTTTGGGGGCTGCAGCATCTAGCAGCTCTGAAATTCTCGTGGTGGAGCCTTTGAAGCATGTGCTACCTGGTTGCACTCTGTTTTCTCTTGCTTCTGGCTAATAAAACTCTTAAAAGGCACCTTGTTGTGGTTTTCCTGAACCAAATCACCCCACCTCCGTCTGCTTACGCTCCTAGCCTGTTTAATTACGGGTTAGGGTGCAGAGGCACAGCGGGTAGCAGACCCTGTGTGCACAGCCCAGAGCACAAGGTCCAGGGAGTCCCGCCCACCCGGGAGAGCTCATTCTGGCAGCTCCGACCTCAACATGACCAGGGAACACGTGCCGGCCCAGGGCTGCACCCACCACAGCACGACTGCCAAGACCTGTGCATTTTGTGCGAGGATTAGAAAGGTTGCCCGGTGATTATATTTGGGATCTAAAAATCTCTGCAGAGGCAAACAAAGTGTATAGGTGGCTTTTTTCTTTTTTTAGTGTGCTAATTAATTCGGAAGTGGTTTTAAAAGAAAGAAGACGCTCATTTGAAACGGTCATGGTAGTACCCATGGAAGAAAAATTAAAACTTGGCTGACTACAGAACTATGGTCTCTTGGTGCAGTTAAAAAACACATTTAGGGTTCACATATCCTTTCTTTGAACTTTTCCTTCCTTTGTTTTGAAAGAGGCTGAACTTCCTCTGGCACAAAAATCCTATTTTGACATTTTAGTTTTACAGTTACTTTATAACAGATATAGCACTGACAGTTAAGAATTCTTTATCTCTCTGTGTCGTTAAGGCCAATCCAAATTTTATAATATTTTGTTATATTTTTCTAAGGCAATAACATAAAAATCCTGAAATTTAAATATGTCCCTAATAACGCAAAGCCAGCTGAGAATGTTTCCATAGCTGTAAAATGAGTGTCAGCAAGAATTTTATTTTTATTATTTTTCCCTTCCCTTCTCTGTTGCAATGGGTTTGTTATGATCGCATAGCGGAATAGCACTTCCAAAAACATACCTGGCAGACAGACTTTTCTATATTTAACCTTTATTTAGTTAAACTGAATTTGCTATTTTTTGGTTTCAATGGTCATTGTTTTTTTGTTCAGCAATGATGGTTCACAGGGAAGGATTAAAATGGTTGTGAATTTCCTAAAGCCACGTATTATTATTATTATTATTTTTTTGAGACAGAGTCTCACTCTGTTGCCTGGGCTAGAGTGCATCAGCCTAGCTCACGGCAACCTCAGACTGCTGAGCTCAAGCGATCCTCCTGCCTCAGCCTCCTGAGTAGCTGGGACTACAGGCATGCGCCACCATGCCCGGCTAATTTTTTCTATATATTTTTAGTTGGCCAATTAATTTCTTTCTATTTTTAGTAGAGACGGGTTCTCGCTCTTGCTCAGGCTGGTTTCCAACTCCTGAGCTTGAGCAATCTGCCCGCCTCAGCCTCCCAGAGTGCTGGGATGACAGGCGTGAGCCACTGCGCCTGGCCGCCACATAATATTTTAAAACAGACTTTATTTTTTTTGGAGCAGTTTTAGGGTCGTAGCAACATGGAATGAAAGGTACAGAGCTCTCCCATGTCCTCCCTGCCCCCGCACAGGTGCAGCCCCCTCCATTCAACACCCCCGCCAGCCAGAGCATCTGGTACACCTGAGGTCACCGTCCACAGCCTGGATGTCACTAGTGGTCCCAACCTGGCCTCTTGGCACTCTTTTGGAGCAAAGTCATACGATAATCATACCCTTAGATGCTGTCATTCTCAGCCTTTTAGCAATTCTTTTTTTTATTTCAGCATATTATGGGGTACAAATGTTAAGGTTATGTACATTGCCCTTGCCTCCCCTCCCCCCTCGAGTCAGAGCCTCAAGCGTGTCCATCCCCCAGACAGTGCACATCGCACTCACTATGTATGTATACACCCGTCCCCTCCTCCCCCCTCCTGCCCGACGCTGGATAAATGTTTCTTTGTTTTGTTTTTTTTTTACATTTTGGTTACATTTTATATCTTTGCCTCTTCCTAGCAAGGGTTAGAGGTATATCCTTCCCCTCCACAATGCTCACCACATCCCTCAGATGTGGGACTACCGCCCCCAACCCCCGAATCCCTGGTGAACGCACCAAGAACAACAGCGAGCTAGCACAGCTTACACTATCCTGGATTGAGCTTAAGCCCATTATCCAAAGTGAGGCGACACAAGATCAGAAGAATGGGCCCCACATGTACTCACCATCAAATTGGTACTGAATGATCAACACTATGGTGCTCAAAGGGTGGTAGTGTTTTAGCAACTCCTGTTACTAAATTGAATGAACCAGGAGACAAGGGTCCCCAGGGTGGTCTCAGGCTGCGTGGCCTCCCGTGGCCTCTAGGTGGCGCTGGGAGACCAGCCCCTGCACCCGCAGCCAGGCCAGATCCTTCTTTCTGATGCAAACAACATCACTTAGGAAGGGAAGATTATTAAAGGCATCACACTACCCTGGCCACAACGACTGGTCCGGCCGCAGAATTACTGTTTCCAGGAAATAGTGGATCACTCTGAAGGCAATCGTGTAGCTGCAGATTAGAAGGAATAAAACATACCTGCTGAGATATTACAAGGCTCTTATTATATCAGCAAAGCCATAAAGACCTGTGTGATCTATCTGTACATTAAGTTTGGGTGTGCATTTTAAATATTCTGTGTTTCAGAGAGGAAACATGCCAAAGGCGGCAGGCTCGCTCGTTTTTCAAGGCGGTAAATCACGGCGCTGGAAATCTTCCCACAAGGCATCCGGCACTGCAGAGCCATCACGGGGTGCTGATGAGGACCCGAACTGGGAGTCCCGGGTCTGCGGGAGCTGTGTGCACCCAGGGGTCCTGGTTTGCCCTTGAACATTTTCTCCACCGTTGTTCTGCTCCCTGATTTTTAAAAAAGAATCTTTTTAGTTTGTATATTTGGGAGAAGCGGCATCTGGGGGGCGTTGGAAACTTCTCCCACCCTTTATTTTATAGCGACGAGGCATGGGTAACTCTCGGGGTCTTTATTTGTTAATTTTAACTGCCTTTTTGAGGCATATACATAATGAACAGAATGAAAGATTACCCTTAATAGTCTCATTTTTCACTGGCTTAAACTCCTACCTAGATATCATTTTACCCGTAGAATCATGATCATGTTTTTAAAACAAAGGGGGCGCATTAAAAAGTCATATAGAAGGTGTAATGAAGAGTATATTAAATATTAAAATTTGATGATTCCAAATCTGTTCAACTTGATAACAACAATAGAAGCATCACAGCCTTTCAGCTTCCTCCATAAGCTCTGGCTCCCAACTTCAGGTCCGATTCATCATTCATGTTAATCATGTCTGCTTTTATTTTATTAAGAATGTGAGTCTACTTCCCCAGCAACTCAAATATTATTTCTTTCCTTTGTTTTACCGTGTTTCCCCGAAAATAAGACCTACCCATAAAATAAGCCCTAGCAGGATTTCTAAGCATTTGCGCAATATAAGCCCTACCCCCGAAAATAAGCCCTAGTGACGGGCGTGGCTGCGCAGCGCGTCTGCACAGCCCATGCGTTTCGTGGCGGAGCGGGAAAGAACACGAGCAGCCCTTCTCATCCGCCCCAGGAGAGCTCTAGTGCTCGACATGAGAGATTGGGGCTGATGGTTCCAAAAGAAGTAGAGTGACAAGAAATTCAGGATGGAATTCGGGTTTTGGAGAGTTATGATGTTCCAGAAGACGACGACTTAACTCTATTTGAATAAATGTAGATTGTTGTACCGTACTTAAAAAAAATCATATCCCTTGAAAATAAGCCCTAGAGTGTCTTCTTGAGGAAAAATAAATATAAGACCCTGTCTTATTTTCCTGGAAACACAGGAATATACTGCTGTACGGAGGTTATTAACCCAGCGTGCAGTGGGAAGAATGGAATTAATTCAGCTCTAGTCCCGGGGCCGTCAGAACCTAGCTGTGCAACCTCCAGCAAATCCTATTTCCTTTTTCTGTGCCTCAGTTTCCTTATCGGTAAAAGCGGGATCCGCAGTTTTCAAATTGAGCTCCACTCGTGTGCCCAAAGGGATTTCATGTGCCTCACCTGGCATCCCTGAACACACCTGCCCCTCCACCGCCAGCCAGCTTTCATCTTGGGTCTCAACTTTCCTGTGAGACTCCTTCCCAGTGATTTCTTGGAATCTTTCTCTTCCAGTTAGGATCGTCTAGTTCAGAGGTTTTTCTAAGGCACTTCTCAGACCTAAAATCTACGGATATGATAATTTCTGTCGTTCTCGTTTTGAAGATGAGTAAATTCAGAATCTCAGCTCCTGACCTGCAGACACACAGAAGGCTGAATGCAGCTGGGCTCACCTGGTGGGCGTCTGGGAGGAAACGCACCCCAGCCCTGTGGCCTGCGCGTGTCCAGGACAGTTTGCAGAGGTCGTGAGTCCTTGGCGATCTCCTGGTTCCAGGGTAGCAGGAGCCACACCCTCCCTTCCACCCCTGGCTGTCAGAGCAGCCGTCACTGTGTGTCTTCCTTCTGCTGTCTTCACTTTCTTCACGGCCTTGTCAAACCATTAAAAACCTTTAAAGAAACAGTTCCCCACAGAGGTAAGGGGTAGCTGGTTCTGAGCCCCCACTAGGTGGGAAACTAGGAAACAGGCCATATTTGAGTTCTCAGGACTCAGCTGCAACCAGGGGAAAGCAGGCCCAGAAAGGAGCGAAACCCAAGGAACTAGCTCTGGTGAGCTCATGGAGGAGGCAGAAGGCCTTCACAAGCAGGTGGCAGTTTGGGACAGCAGAAGGGACTGCCACTTGCACACTCAGGATCTAGGAAGGAAATAAGGGACGTCTTCTGAGGATTCTGGCCCCAGAGACCTTAAGCTCCCTTGGGGGTGCAGGCGTCCTGTTCTGGGTGTGGTAGCCCCAGGAAGGCCAGGGAGCCAGAGGGACAGAGACCTGGAGGCCTGGCAGGTAGGTGGGTGGGGCCTGTGCCAATAGGTGGGTGGAGCCTGACAGGTGGTTGGGGCCTTGCTAATAGGTGGGCGGGGCCTGTACCAATAGGTGGGTGGAGCCTGATGGACAGGTGGGTGGGACCTGGTGAGCATGTGGGTGGGGCCTTGCTAATAGGTGGGTGGGGCCTGGCTGGCCGG